CAAAAAACGAAAAGCGCCCCTTTTTTGCTGAGCGAGGTGTCTGTTTTCCCGGCTGGCTGCTTGCTGTTTTTTCGGGTCGGAGGCCACGATGGCGCCTCTCAATTACTCTATTCCCGGCTCGTTTTTTCACATCTGACCCGCAAAACGCCGCGCTGTCGTGCAGTCAGCGCTTCGGGGTGCAGGGCCGGCAGGCGGCAGGGCGGCCAGGCCAAGGGGTGCCGTCAGCGTTTCGGCCTTCGGGGTGACGCCAGTCGCCGGTGCCGTGGCGAGACGGGCTGCTGCAGTGCCGCAGCGGGGGCAGCGGGGGCAGCGGGGGCAGCGGGGGCAGCGGGGGCAGCGGGGGCAGCGGGGGCAGCGGGGGCAGCGGGGGCAGCGGGCACGAGGGTGTCGTGTGCGTGGGCTCCGGGAACCGGGAAGGTCGACAAGGGCGGTATCGTCACGTCCCGAGGAAATGGCGACTTGAACTTGAACCCTCGACTCTCCCAGTCGCAGACGCAGTCGCAGAGGTGGCGCTAGGGTGTTGTTGACGGCATCCGGCTTGCAATGTAAGCAACAATTGAGCCTTGCGACACTTGGGGTACATAGATACATTTCATCATTCCATCTCAAAGTCGCCTTCTCGAAGTCGCTGGGCCGTCGCGTGCGTCACTACTATCCGTGTGGTTCGGCGACTTCGCCCTGCTTCGCCCCCTCTCGCTCTCACACCGTTCGTCGGAACGAGTTCTCCTCTCTCTCCGCCTCACCCCCTCTCTCCTTCTCCGATTCGCTCCCCTTCTAAACATTCAATCGGTTGAACGGCCCGAGACGTTAGGCCCGCGTGACGCGGCGCGATCGCTACCTGTTTCGTTTTCCTGCAAAATTTCCATCCAATGCGCGCCCGGACCATAAACAAATAATGGCGGTTGGTACTCAGCCAATCCCACCTTGGACGGATTACCATTCGAATCCCCCGCGCGAGGCGACGCGGGTGGCGAAGGTGGCGAGCACCGTGGCATACTCTGTCTCTTTCTCACACGCGTGCGGAGTAAGCAACACCCCACGAGTGCGACAGAGACAGAGAGACGAAAGCGCTTCGGAATGGGCCTGCTGCGGGGAACTCTTGTGTATTGATACCGCGATACCGCGAAGGACCGGCGCACCGGACGTGTTTCAAACAGGTTCCCTCGGTTCCGTCTAGGACGGGGCATCGGGCATCGGGCATCTGATCGCAGGTGCGAGGATGATTCACACACGGGGCCTCGGCTCGCTGGCCGCGCCGCCACGCCGCCGCGCCGCCGCTCGCGTGCCCGTGTCCGTTCTGGCCCTTGCCTTCGCCTTGTTTTGGTCGAATCTCTTGGGCCACAAAAGGAAAGAAAAATACTTCCTTTCGCGCGTAATATAGGTCCGCGACCATTCGGCCCATTCAGACTTCGCACCCGTGGGTAGTTTATCTGGCAAAGGCGCACTAGAAATCGAAAAATATTTCGCAAGCCGCGCCGTATCGGACCGTGTGGTGCGGATTGCGGACAGTGTGCGCACAGCGAGGCGCCGCGTAGTTTTTTCTTCCTGACCTGACACGTTCCGTCTTTAGCTTATCGACTACGGCCGAGTGCCAAGGGCGGCCTGGTCATGCGGGCAGGGCCGGGCAGGGCCGGCGGAGGAGGGGGGCTACCACACAGGGCCTACCGGGGCCTACCGACGCGCACCCGAAGGAGCACGGAGGCGTACCCGGGGGCGCCGCTGCGTCCGAGTAGGCCCTCCTCAGCCTCTCCGTGTGGCGAAGCGGGCGAAGGCGGCGCTTTCGGGCGTGCAGCCTGGCCGAGCCTGGCAGAGGGGCGGAGAGGCACGGAGGCACGGCCCGTCACGCTGAGAGCCAGCGCGGCAGGCGCGGCAGGCGCGGCCCGACTCCTTTCTCTCTCCTTCGCCTCCTTGTCTGTCTCTCTGTCTTTCTCCTCTTCCCGGCCTCTCCTTCCCCCCGGGGACGTACACACCAGGACCAAGGCGCGGACCGCCTCCAAAGGGAACTCCAAACTGGTTCTCGGCGGGCCTCGCGCGCGCGCGCATCGCAGCACCGCCGAGAGCGCCGCCCACGGAGCCCTGTGACGGTCTTCGGCTGTCTCCGGCAAACTAAGGCAGTCTCTAAGAGTCTCTGGCAGTGTCTAAGAACATGGCAGTATCTAGAAGTCTCGCGGTCTCGCGCGGATTGTTCCGGGGCTCCGGGTGCGGCGTGCCAGGCGTGCCAGGCCACTCTGCAGCCCATCAGTCCATCAGTCCCGCGGCCTCGCGCGACACCGCCCAGATCGCGTCTCTCGCCTCGCCTCGCCTCGCCCGCCTCGCCTCGACACGTGACTCCCTGACTCACGCACGTTGCGCGTTTCGATAATCCGGCCGGCGACTTGATGACTTCCTCGCGGGGTCTTCTTTCCGTGGAAAGTTCTCCCGCTGGAGTCGCACAGAGTCGCGGCTAGATCGCCCCTCGTCCGCGGACTTGTGGCTCCGGACTCCGCGGCATCACACGGCACTGCTAGCACGGCACGCCAGCTCCGCCCGCCCCGCCCATGGAAACATTCCCCCATTTTTCATCTGCCGTGACACCGTCCGATCGTCCGAAGCGACTTGCGGCGGCGGCGTTCGAGACGTTTGCCTTTTCACGGGCCCGCCAGCAGTCTGATTCCGAACACTGTGGCTGCGCCTCTCTCTCGCAGCACTGGGGGACGCCCCATGCGCCCCAGAGCGACGAAACCTCTGTTTGGAAGCAGTCGGCCGGCGACGGGGAGGCTGCGAGTCGCTGCGAGTGCGCGAACCCAGTCCGTGCCAAAAGCGAGCGAATAGCACACCGCCCCACGTACGCACTGCCGTAAGGCCGTACGGCGGGGGCATGCAAAAGGACACATCCGCGGACGCCGTCTTCGCGCTCCGCGTCGCCGCGGCTCGCCCCGACCGTCACCGTCTCCTCCGAAATTAGAAACGGTCCACGGAGTACTTGCAATAATAAACGCGTCCCTCGCGTGCGAGCGCAGAGAGGGCCAGCTTTGAGCACCGACGCTTTGACGCGAGGAGAAAGATCCTGAAAAAGAAATGCCCCCACCCCTTCGCCAAAACGGCCACCGGCGGTACTTAAATTTGTTTCGTGGGATGGGACTTCCCCGGCCCGTTCTGCTTTGCTCTTGTGCCGTGGGGTACGTACAGTGGTACAGTCGGCCGGAGCCAGGAGGCGCGAGGCGCGGGAGGGGAGTGGAGAGGGGCGAGGCGGGCGGAGGAAACATGGACGCTTAGCTCGCTTGCTCCTCTAACCTCCCCGCGACCTTGGCGTCAGCGCGTCAGCCATTGACACAACTGTCATCCCCTTTCCGCGGGGGCGCGAAAAGCGGCCCATTTCGGAATTGATTTCGTGACAGATCCGTCCTGCCGCCTCCGCGCAGGCCGGGGGCGGTCGGCGGTCACGCAGGACAGAAACGCCAAGCCGCGCTTCAAATTCTAAACGGGGCGGCGCGATCAAAATAGACCACCGGAGGCCCGGCTAATTGTAAAGCCGCGCGGAACTCCGGGGGCGGGACGGAGTGGGGCGAGGCGTCCGCTTGACCTACCTCGAGGGCTGCGGGTTCTACTCACCGGGTGGGCACTGGCACTTGCCTTCTGCGTGCCGCCCCGTGTGTTCGGCGGGGCTTATCATTATGCCCGCGGGAATTAAATTTTAAACTTAAGCCGCGGGTCCTCTCTCTTTCTCTCTCCCCCTCCCTCTCTCTCCCTCTCCCTTGAGCGCTTTGTTGTTAATAAGGTGGTGCGCGTGTGTTGGAGCACCCCCTCCCCTTTCACTTTCATTTGACCTTCCCCACGCGCCGTCCGCACCCCGTCCCGTCCGCACCCCTCCCCCTCCCCTCCCCCAGCGGCCACTCTCCCATTCACCCTCGCCCACGGCGGCTGGCTCGGCGGGCTGAATGGCGCTGGAGCTGGAGGGGAGGGGGCGAAACCGGGCGAAACCGGGCGAATCGAACACGCGACCCCATCCCTCTCTCTCCCTCGCACCCGGCGGCGCGGTAGTGCGGTGCGGCGGAACTCCGGGCGGGGCCGACTCAGCGCGCGCTTCGCGTCGCTTCGTGTCGCTTCGTCGCTTGGAGCAAGCAGGAGACCTCGCTCAGCAGTCCAGGCCGCGATCACTATTTTTCACTTGTTTTGTCTACGTTGCGGGGCGGGGCGGGCGGGGCGGGGCGGGGCCGCGAAGCCTAGCCTAGGCGGCGTAGGCACGCCGTTGTCAGAAAAATAAAAACCCGTTCGGCTCCAGGCCGCGCGGACCGTCAATGGTTTAGAGGGAAGGCCGAGCTAGAGCTGGCCAGCTAGCCGCTCGTTGTTGTTGTTGCTGTTTGCCGCAGAAGTCCCACGGCATCCCGCAGCGCCATTTAGCGTCTCTCTCGCACTCTGCCAGGACCGCGGCAGTGCGAGAGAGACAGAGAGAGGTCCAGGTAAGGAGCGCTGCGCTCCGCGGCGCCGTGCTCCGGCCGGCCTGCTCAGGTGATGTTTGTTTTTGCCTCGCGGCCACCGCGTCGCCGCGACCCCCTCGCCGCGGGCGCGTCGCCGTGCATGCTGTGTGCCGTTGTGGTGTGAAGCGGTGAGCGGTGTGAAGAGGCAAGGCGAGGCGGTGTTGTGCTGGTGGCGCAGATGTTCCGCGCGCTGGCCATTCGCGAGGCAGTGCCAGCACGCCAGCACGCCAGCAGCGACGCGGCAAAACAACAACGGGCCTGGCCGGGAGTCGAACCCGCGCCGACACGCAGCGAAAACACCGCGCGTGCGGCGTGGCGGCGTGCGGGGTTCACTCGCCCGACGTCGGCGTCACCCTAGGGGCGCGCTGCGCGCTGCGCGCCACCAGGGCGCACCATGGCCGCCACGGTGCTCATTGTTGCTGCCTTGCCTGCCCTTGGTGTGGTGCATATCCGTGTTGATACCCTTGGTGGTCACTTGCGGCTCGTTGGCGCCGTGGCCCGTCGCGCCGGGGCGCCACTATATAACTTCACCCCGTTACTTACTAGACACATTTCGTCCCCTCTGACGGCGCCGACGGGTGTCGCCGTGTCGGGCGTCGCCGCCACGTGGCCGCGGGGCCGGCCGGCCGGCGAGATGGTGCTTCTAGGCGTACTGCGCAGTTTGGCCCCCCTAGGACTCCCCCCTCCCCCCGCTGGTGTTCGGCCCCCTCTTTTTTCCACCGGGCCCCGAGGCACGCCGGCATGGCGAACTACCGCAGCCTAGCAGACGGACGGGCGTCGGCGTCGCGACGACCCCCGCGGCCTCACGGTGCCTCACGGCCGGGAGGCGCCGAGAAGTCTCATTCCTAACAGCGCTTCGTGGCTCTGTCTCCCTCACACCCTGGGAGAGAGACAGCGACGTAGTTGACGAAGTCACTGTTCAGGTGTCTTTTGCGCGTTGCGCGTGCGGCCAGCGAGAATATCTCAGCGGCCGACATGACCATCAGCAAGCAGCACCACAACACCTTGTCCCTGCCAGACAACCGCTGTATCACTGCGTCATAGGGGCCCGGGCGAGGCCCGTCCCATGGGGCCACCGGCGTGGTCGAGCGAAGAGACGTTCATCGCTCTGTCTCTCTCGCACCTCACGGAGAGCCCAAAGAGTGCAAGAGAGACAGCGACGAACCGCATGGCGCCGGACTCTGAGCAGATGCTCGGTCCGCGTCAATGCGGGGGGCTTGCCCGCGCCGCGTTCATGGCTGTCCATGGCGACGGTCGGGGCGAGCGGAGCGGGCCTCCCCGTGCACCTTTCGAGCTTCAAGCACTGGCGATGCTGGTTGCCAGGATAGGCCCTAGCGGCACAGGGGGCAGGTGGGGCACGCTCGCTCGTCTAGGCACGTCCAGGCTGTGCAGGCTGTGCAGGCCCGTCTAAGCTCATCTTGCGCGGCGAAACGCGCACTTCCTCCGTGGCCCCTCCTCTCTCTCCTCTCTCTTCCACTCCTCTTCTTTTCGCCGCTCCGCCGCTCCGCGAAAGAAATGGGCAAATGGCGTGGCAAGGCACGCGGGCCCGTAGAGGTCAGAGCGGGTACCACAACACCGCGGCGGGGTGGGCGGTGGGCTGGCGGTGGGCGGGGCGGGACGGCCAGTCACCAGAATTGGGCTCGGCAGTGTACGCCGCTAAGCCCAAAGCCCGTGGACGCGGAGGGCAGTGGAGGGGGCTGGGTTGATTGTAAACAAACCGCAGAGGACGTCGATGGGCGTGGGCTAGCTTGGGCTGCGCTCCGATGACTGCGGCGTTTGTCCACCTTAAGCGCCTTCTTGGGCGTGGCGCCAGTCAGAGGAAAGGGGCGAGTGAGAAGGCATTGGGTAATTTGCCTTTATTTGTCATGGCAGCGTCGCCGTGGCCCCGTGGGCCTCCGTGGGGTATGTAGTTTCCAAGCCGTGGCAACAATGGCTGGCTCTGGCTTGGGCTTGCTTGGGCTGCCTCGACTCGACTCTTGCCTCGCCGACGCCGCGACGCCGACAACGCCGACGTGGCTCGGCACCGGCATGGCCGCCGTGTTTACGAACAGCCCGGCGTGCGCAGCGTGCGCGGCACGCGTGGCCGAGGCGTGACCGGGCGTGACAGCGCGCCGAACACGAAGCGGCATTGTGCTCCACTGCGGGCTCGCTCCCAACACTGCTTGGGTCGCTCTGTTTCTCCCGCACTCGTGGGGCGTCTCGCAGGGCTCCGAAAAAGACAGCGACCAGCCAGGACACTCGGCGGAAAGGGTTCCAAAAGTCCTCGGTGGAGGACGAGGATGCCGTCGAGTCCTGATAGTCAACACTACTGGTAACTGGGTTCCAGTGCTGTTGCGCGGCCGCACGGCCGGGGTGATGCGCCGCGAGGCGATCCTCGCTCTCAAGGACACCGCGCGACGCCGCGCCGCCACGCCGCAAAGTCCACAGCTTGACTTCCGCGCGCGGCCCGCGGCCAGAGACCACCAGCGCGCACTTCGCCGGCGAATGGCCGGCAGGCAGGGGCCGGCCGCCGGGGAGTCGACGCCGGCGTCGCCGAGAGCCGCACGCTGAAAGCAAGGAGGACGCCGCGACGCCGCCGCGCTGCGCAGTTCCGTGGGCTTTCTTGCTGCCGAGACTTGCGAACGATCGTTTCGTCGCGCTGTCTCTGCCGCACTCATGGAGCGTCCCGTAGGAGTGCGAGAGAGACAGAGCGGCTATCCTTCGGAATCGCTTGGTTGGCGCCTTGCCTTGCCCCTGCCGCCTCGCTGACGACATGGACGTGGGCCTCCTGGCCGGCGCGGCGCCGTGTGGCGCGGTGGTATTTACCAATGGAAAGCGAACCAGCTTTCAGCCCGGCCGGCCGGGGCCCGGCCCGCATGCAGGCACCCCACCCCGTGCTCCATGCATTTGGCGCCCAAGGCCAGCCAAGGTCAAGGTCCACGCGGGAAAGGGAAGCACAGTGCCAGCCCCTGTTCTTCCCACAGAAAACACAACAAAGTGCGTCACTGGCGGTGGCCGGTGGTGGCGGCGGAGCGCTTCCTCTCGTCGAGCTCTCCGAGGCTTCGAGGGCGTCCAGCGCACCCGGGCCACGGCCGCACTGCTGCTAACTGGCGCGACCTCGGTGCACACCCTGCACTGCAAGCCGCGGGCCTTGCGGGCCGCATGCAGCGTGCGAGGCGTGCGTGCTCGAACAATGATTCTGTGCACTGCACTCGAGCGGATGGCGGCGCAGCGCGCAGCTGCTGCTGGGCGTCGCCGGCGTCGGCGTGGCGTCGTCGTCGCGCTGATGGTGCACTACACATGCTGCTCCATAAAGCAGTCCTCGCCGGCGAGCCTGGCGAGCATGGCGAGCTGGCTGGCAAGACAGACACTAGCGGTGCGGCGTCGCCGGGCGTCGCCAACGCCCCGCGACCGCCATGCTGGCCATGCTGCCGTCGGCGTAGCTGCGCCGCTGCGCCGCGTGGGCGTCAGCGACAACAGCGCCGCTACGCCGCTGGCTTGGTTCTCGGCTTGGAGTGCTGTTAACCCCAAGTCGGCCGAGAACGAGTCTCGCAAGCAGCAAGCCTACGCCTCCAGCCTAGATTGCGGCCTACGCGGCCACGTCAACACAGCCCGCCCCGCCCCGCCCCGCAAGCCACCAGGATTCCAATCTGGTTTATCAATTTTTCGCCGCCCTGGCAGAGAACAATGCTCGCCTTCATCGCGTCGCGACGCGTCGCCTGGCGACAGGGCCGGCAGGACAGGCAGCGCCAACCCGTTTGATTGATCGAAACTGATTCCGAAGCCGAGGCCGAGTGCAGCGCTAGCCACTGCTGGGCGGCGTGAGGAGGGTCGCGGGGTGGGCGGACGCCTTGGACGCGGAGTCCAGCCTGCTGTGGTATCGATCGGACGCGTCAGTGACACGTCAGTGACACGTCAGTGACACGTCAGTGACACGTCAGTGACACGTCAGTCACTCAGTCGCTCCCCTTTCTCTCGAAACCTGCCCGTCATCTGCCGCACACGCCGCCGATACCCAGCGTGTGCACTTAGAGCGCGATCGGCAACTGCACCACGGTGGGGAGGACAATGACTACTGACTCCTGACGCATTCCGTGTCCCCTCCAAGGTTGGGGCAGGTCGGGGACTGTACCAGGGCTCCCTAGCGCTGCACTGCGCGGCACCGTGACTGTACACAACAAGAACAAGCTTTCCAGAAGCGTCTCGCTGCACCCCTCCTACCCCCTCCTCCCGAGGCCCGCACGGCCCGCACCCACCACACCCCAACCGAGCTGTGGGATCCCCTTCCACTCAGCTGCTGTGTTGGTGCGGGCGGGTGGGGGCGAGGAGGATGCATCATGTGATCGCCTCTGCGCCTCAAACACGACAAAAAGAACAACTTGGCGTCACGTACACTACAAAGTATCCCAAGCCCGTTGATTTTCCTCCGCCGGCACTCCGAAACATTTGAGCGCCTACGGGTTCCTTCCTGGTCGGCCGTTCCGAACGAACAACCCGCATTCCGCATTCTTGACAAAGCGTGTTCGGTTCTCTGCGTTGGAAGTGAGCATCGCCTCGAAAGCCCGCGACTGCGAGTGCCAAGACGAGGCCCGCCTGGGCCGCCCGCATGGACGCCTCGCACTTACCCTGTAGTCTGTTCCGAATCGAAGTGCCCCGTCGCTCTGTCTCTCTCACCCCTACCGCACTCCCCATGAGCGCGAGAGAGACGCGGCGACGAGGCACAGCCTGCTGGAATGGAACTGATAACCGTCACAGGCGCGCCCCGACTCGCGAGGCATTTGACGGTTAAATGGTTCCGCGCCGTTGCGTGCTGCGCATGCCGCGCAGGGTGTGCGGGTGCAACGAAATCGTTAGTGGGACCCGGCAAGGTTTCTTGTCCAAGGCTCATGCATTACCGAAAACCCTTGACTCCAATCCAAACCAAATCCGCCGTCAGACAAATCAGATGCCTATCGACCTCACTTTTGTTTTTCGCGGGCCATGAAAACAAGCCGACTGTTTAAATTCCAAGCCTCGCAAGGTCATAATAAAGTCGTACCGCCGGGGCTGTGTGCTTAATACGTCCCGATTCGGACTTAGAAATAATGGCAATGTCAGAATGGGGTGTACCCACTGAATCCAAAAGTTGAAGCGACGCTTGGCCAAGCCGCCAGCCGGGCCAAGCGGCGCGTCGCGGTCGGTCGGGAACGGTGTGCTGGCGGTGCTGGCGGTCCTGGCGGAGTGTCCGTCTTCCCTGGCTTCCAGTGTGGCTATTGTCAGAGGGGCTGTACTAACGGCCGACGCGGCCTTCCAGAAGTCGAGTCCAACCTTGCATCATCCGCCGTGTATACATAGCACAGGTACAGTCATCGACAATTTGGGTCTGGTCCGAACCGGCTGGAAAGGGAGCGAAGGGCCGCTGGAAGGGCCGCTGGAAGGGCCGCTGGAAGGGCCTCGCGGGACGGAAGAGACGAAGGGAATGGATGGAGGAGGCTTGTCTGGAACTGCGCACAACGCGACCAGCGAGATAGGATAGAGGAGAATGGGCGAGAGAGGGGGAGGGAGAAATGGCGATAGGTGGATAGAAAGGGGAGGGGATAGGCGTGCTGTGCGCTTGGCTGGGCTTGGCTGGGCAGCCCGGCAGGGCTGGCGGGGCCCTACGCCCTACCCTTCTACTGCCGCACGGCCACCGCTGCCGCAGCGTGCCCTTGGCCGTGACGCCGTGACCTTGACGGGGTTCGGCAGGAAAGGGAAAGGAGTGGGGCGGGGAGCAGGGCGGGGAAAGGGGGGGGGGTACTTCGCGGCCTTCCCTTCTTTTCCCCGACGGCGGTTCCTCCTCTTGTCGGAATCTGCTCGACTCCTCCAGAATATCCGGCGATTTGTGTGATGAATAGGAAACGCCATGGAAATGTGTGTGAGTGTGTCTTTTGTTTATTTTTGTGCGTGGACAGCAGCCAACGCTGCGTGCGTCAGTCAGACGTGTGGGATCCGAGCGTCAAAGCAATGCAGACGGCATGTTGGTCGCAGCTCGGCGCAGCTACACTAAGCCAGCGACAGCGAGCAGTCCCGAGCAGTCAGACTGCACCACACGCGTTCCAAATGCACACGCAGGCAGCCAGTCCCCATTCTGTCGAAACTCTTCCGTCCCAGCAATCCAGCCAACTTTGCCTTTGGATCCAACCAGAACAATGTTGATGCAACTAAAACTGGCTCCAGCCCACGGCGTTCCGCATCGAGACTCCAACTAACACGGTAAAAGATTTAAATATTTTGGACGCTCGAATTGGCAACGCTGGGTGTGTGTGTTGTGATGGAGTGCTGCTGGCAGCGGTCTCGTCTCTCGCCCCAGCCCGCAGGGGCCTGGACTGCACCTGCCCACAAACACATGCACACACACGCACACACGCACACACGCACACACGCCCCACCCGAACAAAGCCCGGAGCAGGTTGGAGAATTCTGGGTGGAAGCAGTAGAAGGCCATGGATGGGGTGACATCCCTTCTCCTCCTCCTTTCTCGGTCAAGTCCTTCCAAATGACGGGAGGTACGTACCACTCGTTTTGCAGCATCACCTCACCCCACCCCTCCAAAAAAGACGAAATCGTGAAATGACGTAATCTGTGTTGTTGTTGGGGGAAGGGGGAGGGTGGCAAGGAGCAGGGGGTGCGTTGGTTTGTGGTCTTTGTTCCCTCGGCTCCAGCAAGCGGGCTCCAGCTGACGGGAGGCTCCAGAGCTCCGCCCCCTTGCATCACGTTTCCGAGTCGGCTTCTGAGAACTGAGAACGATCCGTCCGATACCTGCTGCCCGGCCTGCCCTGCCCGACCCAGTCGCCCAGCAGGGGGATTTAAATTTGTTGTTATCCTGCAGCGCACGCACGCGTGCAGTCCCTGCAGGCTGTGCAGGCTGTGCAGGCTCAGGGACGTGTACTACGCGCAGGCACGGACTTGCTGGCTCATTCCGAACAGTTCTGCGTCGCTCATTTTCCATCTCTCCCGCACCCCTCCCTACACCGTGCGAGAGAGAGAGAGAGACAGAGACAACCCTGTTCAGAATCGAATCCGCCAGCAGCGCCACCCCGATGCCCGAGCGCTGTCCGCAAGTGATGTTACGGCACCGGAAATGAAGAACCTTGAACAGAACACGCCCCCCGGGGTGGACGGGACGGACTCCTTGCTGTCTTTGCAGGGATTGGGGGGGGGGGGGGGGGGCAGGACGCGAGCACCGGCAGCACCGGCACCGGCAGCCTCTGGGGGCTACAGGGCCTCTCGAGCCCTCTTCGAGAGGCGAGCCGAGCGGCCGAAATGAACTACATTCCGACGCACGGGGGAATTCGCCGGGAATCAGAAGCGGAATTCTGTTGCTGCCGTTGCCGAGTAGGCAGTGTAAACGCGCGACCCTTTCACCGAAAGGGTAGCGCGTAGGCGGGTTGCCGTAAGTTGCAGTCCTAAGGGGTTCGGGTCGTTCGGGGGCGAGAGAGAAGGGGCCCGGGGGTGGAGCGCCCCCGCCCCCCACACCTTTGAGCCAGCCACCCCTCCCGTCCCGGGTCGTACTTGCTGGCAGTCACGTAGGCGTCGAGCCAGCCGTGTGGGCGTGGGGGTCGTCCGAGTTCTGGAGTCCTGGACTTGGCGGGGCCGTCTCCGACCCGTCGCAGCTACTCGCAGCCCTTGCCGGGGACGAGGGCCTTCTTCGGCTTGGCCTGTCCCATTAGGAGAGACTCTCAGTCTGGAGCATTCTGCCTGCTTCTGCCGCGTGTCGTCGTCACGTTTCCGACGTTGCCGACCGAAGATTGCCGACCTGCGTCTCGCATATCTCGCCTATGTCACGAGACGGGAGCGGAAGGCGACAAGTGGACACGCGAGTGCCCGGCATGCACTGCATGCACCCACCGGCACCCACCCGGCAGGCCTGGGCCGGCCCAGGCGGCCTGACTGCAGGGACTTCCCTCGCCTTTCCTCGTGGCCTCCCGGGCCCCCGCCCCCGCTCAACCTCTCTGGACCCAGAGCCCGACACTTTACATTTGCGTCCACTTGCAAGTTATGCACTCAAATCACACTGCACTCGGGGCCCAAAAGCCTAAAGCCGCACCGGCATCGCGACGTTGCCACGTCGGGGCTCATCGCTTTGCTTTCCGCGTCCCCTCCGCCCCCTAACTCCCCCTTCCCCGTGCCCGGCCTGTTTCCAAACAAGCCCCTCCCCTCTCCGCCCCTCCCCCTCCCCCTCAGCTCGTCTTTGTCCCCCACCCCTCCTCCCTCCTCGGACTGCGCACGGCCCGGGTTCGATAGCAACAGCGCCTGCGCGTCGACGTGGAGCGAGTGGAGTGTCTGCGGGCCTGCGGCCGGGCGAAGCTCTTTGGCCTGAGTATAAACTGTTGTGGCGTTCACTTTGCAGTTCAGTCGGCTTTCGGCAGCGAGCGCGAGATGAGTGTGGTCTAGCTTGGCGCAAGTCGGCGCAAGGAAGCCCAGTGCTTTGTGCAGGGGAAGGAAGAAGGAGGAGTTGGTCGGTGTGGATTGAAGAAGTATCACCAACGGAAGGATTGTGCCGAAAGACTTCTGCAGTCACATGGGGCCAAGCACGCAGTGACAAACCCTCATCCAAGTCATCCTTACACCGTGCTGAGAAATCTGCCCCGCTGTGCTCCCAGAAGATTATTTACTCCGAGTACCTTAACGCTACCTTGTGATTCGTTAATTTATTTGTTGATAGTTTTTGTATTTATTGTGTTATTTATTGACTATTGAGTGTTAATTAACTTCGACGAAACAATGGTGGAAAGTATACTAGAGGGAGTTGTGCAGCAAGGAGGACTGGACGCCGCATCTGTCCAGACGAGTGAGTATTGCCCTTTGTTTTGACTTTGTTAGTGGCGTGGGATGGGATCTCGCGCAGAGCCCACTCAGTGCCGATGTGGCCGTATTTTGTCCCTTTGCCGAGCTTGGCCGTCAGAGTGTAGTCGGCCAGGCGCACCTAGCCTCTCCGGACCTCCGGACAAAGGAACCGTTGGGCGAGCTCCTTCCCTGACGCTCTGTCGTCTGTTTGTGTTTGTTTACATGAGGGTCTGCATGCGACTCTAGCTTTAGTCTCCCCTTTTCGATGTCTCGCACACCCTCACTCTTCGGTGTCCGACTTGTTCGGTATGGTAGGGCCTTTGTCTGGTGAAAGGTGCCCTGGTCCTTTCCTTCCGGTATCCTTCCCCCGGGAAATACCGACGTTGCGTCCGCCTGGTGCCTGGTCCGCCCCATTTTTGTCGTGGGCAATCCGCCCCTTGCGGGGGCTGCTTTTCTCGGGGGTCCGACGCGAGTGTCGATGTAAAATATGACTCATGCTGGAAAGTCGGCTGGAGCTGGAGGCCCGGTGGCAAGTGCGACACCCCCTCCCTCCCCACCCCAATCGGAAGTGACTTTCACCGGACGGCCGGACGGGACGGGACGGGACGGGACGGGACGGGACGGGACGGAACGGAACGGCGTGGGGGCGCAGCCTGGCGCAGCGCTGCGAGCCGGCGCGGGCCGTTCGAACAGCGGCGCAAACTGTAAACCCTACTTTTCGCGAGTTTTTCAAAATTGGGCTGGTGGTTGTCAGGGATTTTCCTTTGGCTCTTCTGTTGCACAGTTGGATTATTTTCTGATGAATCTAACATACTTGTTTCCATTGTTCCAGGCGAAGTAATGTCTGTTCTGAGAGATGCCACCAACGCTGATGATTTGGCTAAGCGTAAGGAGGAGGCAAGACGCAAAAGGCGCAAGAAGAAGACGGCGACAAGTCTTGTTTCCGCTTGTTTCCAAGGTAATTCTACTTCTTAAAAAATAAAACTTGATTTTTGTTCAAGTTCATGGTTACTACTTTACCTCTTTTTCCCACAGATCTGTATAGGCTAACCGGAGAAGTCCTAGGAGAGGGAGCCTATGCATCGGTTCAGACGTGCGTCAATGTTTGGACGGATTTGGAGTATGCTGTGAAGATGATTGAAAAAGTTCCCGGTCATTCAAGAAGCCGCGTTTTCAAGGAAGTTGAAACCTTCCACCATTGCCAAGGACATCCCAACATCATTCAGCTGATTGAGTTCTTTGAAGATGAAGAGAGATTCTACATGGTGTTTGAAAAAGTCAATGGAGGTCAATTACTAGGCCGTATTCAGGAAAGAAATCATTTCACTGAAAGGGAAGCTAGTCAGATAATCCGTGATCTCGCTAGTGCTCTTGAGTTTTTGCACAAGAAAGGTATAGTATATTAGTTTTTCCTTGAATTTAATATGTTGCTTGGGTGTTAATAAGTCACCTTACATATTGTTTTATTTTTTTTTGTCTAGGTATTGCTCATAGAGACCTGAAACCGGAGAACATTCTGTGTGTTGATCCTGACAAATTAACACCAATCAAAATTTGTGATTTTGATCTGGGTTCTGGAATTAAGTTCAACTCTGCTCTGACATCTCCAATTGCCACTCCTCAACTTTTGACTCCTGTGGGTTCAGCAGAATTCATGGCTCCAGAAGTGGTTGATGCATTTGTAGGAGAGGCTAACTCCTACGACAAACGCTGTGATTTGTGGTCTCTTGGTGTCATCATGTACATCTTGCTATGCGGATATCCACCTTTCTATGGAAATTGTGGCATGGATTGTGGATGGGAACGAGGAGATAACTGCAATTCTTGCCAGGTATGAATTTGAACCTCTCTATTTTCTGTGCTTTGAACAAACCTATTTGTCTCTTGGCTTTTGTTTGTTAAATAAGCTTCTTAAATTAATTTTTCAACTTTTTTTGTTTGTTTGTAGGAGCTTCTATTCACAAGCATTCAAGAAGGCATTTATGAATTCCCTGAAAGAGAGTGGGGTGGTATTTCTGATGATGCCAAGGATCTCATCAAAAGACTTCTTGTAAAAGAAGCCAGGCAAAGAATTTCAGCAGACTCTGTCCTCAATCATCCCTGGATCCAACCTGGTCCATCTACCCGAGGACTTTTTACACCACACATTATCCGCAGGTATGAACTGTTCCAGACATGCTCTGTCCACTTCCATTCCACATCATGGATTTCTGATTGAATTTTCATCTTTTTTCTTCAGGAACAACAGTGCACGAGATCTGTCTGCATTTGCTGAGAGTGCTATGGCTGTGAATAGAGTAGTCCTTCAACACTTCAGTATGAACATGGATCTAGTGCCACGTGAGGAGTACCATCCAAGCAGCAAGACTTCCTGTAGCGCTGCTGTAGCCGATTCGATGGACTCCGGCCATCTGTTTGGCCTCTCACCACCATCAGAATCCAGGCTTTTGCAGCGCCGTTTGCAAGCTAATTCCGTCCCTCTCATCCCTTCACCATCATGTTAGTGTCATCATCGTACTGTCCTTCATTTTCTCCAGATGTTTTGTTTAGTTACTTTAGACTTAAGTGTCCTTTCCTTTTTTTTTTTGTTGGAATTTTGGAGCAGTGATATGTGGTTGAGAGGATGTGCTCAGTCTTCTGAATGGATGTGTGAGTGAATGTGTGTGAGAGAGATGTAGGTCAGGCTGTTAATGGGTTTGCAATTGCATTGATTTTTTTTTCACAATTCCTTGATGTCTTTAGTTTTGCAATTGCAAGTTTCTTCTTTTTTTTATCATCGACGCATAAATTTCATTTTGTAAGAAGTGATGTGATTTGATTGAATACTGTTTCTCAAAAGTTTTGTGAGTTTTGCAAACCCAGCTGATAGACCTCTCTCTCTGATTAAATTGAACTCAAATTGAGTTTTTCCTGCCAAGTGATATGAATGAATAGACTGATAATTTTTAATAATAGAATTTTTCCAGAGTGTGTACTTGTATGAATAAGCGTGAAGGCTGGGTGCTCAGCGCTTACAGCCAAAGACTATACTACGAAATTGTTACTCCAGAAGTGGAGCAGTAAATGGAAAGTTGCAAATTGATGATAAAATCTTTTTGATCTGTATGCTTTGTAATTGATTTTACTATGGTGCCGAACAGAATTCATGTTCAAAGTGAGTAATGAATCTTCATTTAAATCCTCAGGGCAATTTTGTAATATTCTGTGTTTGGTCCATATGACTGAATGTTATGATTTTAGCACACAAAGCCAAAGTAATGAAGCCATTAGCTTTTGAATTACCCCTTGGCACCTGCACATTGTAATCAATAGCTCATAGACATAGTCCTTGTGTGGCTAATGTGTCAGTCTTTATTGAGGTACCTTGAGGTGTGAAGGGGAATGAAATGCTACAAGTCAAATTGTTTGAACATTAAAAGTATTAATTTGATAGGTACGTATGTACAATTTGTATCTGGTAAAACTAACGCTAAAACCTCATTTTTCACATGGAAGAAGGTAAAATTAATAAAATAAAATGAAAACCCAAATGATAAGATCTAGACCAGTTTTTATTTATATCACCTACATTGTGAGCACATATCATCTTTCTCATAAATGAAGAACACACAATGAGACAATCCAATATTCAATCATAGACCTTTTGCTTAATATCACAGTAGAAGGAAACCAGCTTCAGATTACTGAGATTCCCAGTCTTCAGTTAAACCCCATCTATCGTTGGAGAGGAAAATAAACCTTTCAGTTCAAAATTGATAAAACTTTTGACACATATACAACTACAAATAAAATTAGGACAATCTCATTTATCCTTTTTATGCTTATGCTTCTTCTTCTTTTTCTTTTTATTAGAATCAAGATCTGAATCTTTGCCTTTCAATGTGGAATCTTCTTTGGCCTTTGGTAAAGAACTACCATTCTCAGAATTATGTTTTTGCTCAAGTAAAACTGCTGATGAACTCTTAGCTGCCGTCTGTACAGACGCTTCAGTGGCGCTGCGTTTCAGGGTTCGCGACACAGACAACTCCTTAGACACTAATTGAGGACTTCTTTGACGTGATCTTGATCGAGATTTATTAGTTTCATTGGCCACTACCGAATTTCTTAAGGCACCTTGTCTGGAGGACTTGGAGGGAGATCTTGACCTACTTCTGCCCCTAGATTTCAAAGTAACTGTAGACTTTGATCTGGAGCTAGACCGCGATCTTTTAGATCGATTTCGCGATCTTGACCTTCTCCTCGACTTAGAACGCCTGCAATCAAAGAATCGACGTTCGGGAGTTACAAAAAACATGCGCTTGACCACAGAAGGACCTGATGGTGTCTATAAACTTGCCTGGTTCTACTCCTACTTCTCCTCAATCTCGAATTACTTCGTGACCTTCGACGACGTGTCCTTGAGCGACTACCCGAATGGCTCCGTGATCGACTGCGGCTTCGGGAACGACTAGATCCTGTCTGACCAGCGAGTTTGCTGAAGTACTTGTAGTAGTCGTCGGACATGCCATAGTAGTAGTTCTGCATCATGTAACCACCGCGGCCACGAGGAGCACGAGGCCACCGCGGCCAGCGACCCCTTCCCCCTCCCCCTCCCCCGTACATTTCGCCTTGTGGGTACGGAAATCTGTAACAAAGACAGCAACATTGAAAGCCGACCCATTCATCACTTCAAGTTTATTTGGTAAAATCAGGCAGAGTACTAACCTTCCCGCAAAGGAAGGGTTGAATCCCAGCAGACCACCATGAAAGTCCATTGGAAACATTCCCGCTGCTGACTGAGCATTCACTGAATTAAACCAAGACCCAGGTTCATCTGAGCTCTTTCTGTCATCATCTTTCTTGTCACCTACACAACAAATATGGACATGACAAGTTTCAAAACATAAATCAGTGAGAACATCCTTTGATGAGTAAATAAATACCTGGTAACTTCTTTTTGTCAATTTCCTTTTTATGAGTCGCATTCTTTTCTGTTTCCTTAAATGAAGTTACAGAATCACTGCTGGATGAGCTTGAGGTCGTTGAGTCATCAGAATCGGCATCATCTTTCATCAGTTTTGATGATGTCAAAACACTCCGTACTTTGCTTCTCCCTGATTAAGGCAGCATAAAAATGATTAAAGTCAGTTTTTTTCTTCCTATTTTATCTTAGCGATTATAAGGGCCAACACTTTACCCTCAACAGTCTGACGCAGTTTTTCTTCTTGACCTTTCAATTGAAGTTCTTGCATGCTTTTGTATTTCTTCATCAATTTAGATCTTAATTCTCTTTCTTTCTTCTCCATATCCTCCTAAAGTTTCAATGAGCACATAAGTGTTAATAGCTAAAACTAATTTAACACATCTGACAGTCAATAAGCTTAATCATGAAGAGACTTACTTTTTCATCTTTCTCCTCCTTACTTTCCTTCTTGTGCTCGACATTCTCTTTCTTTAACTCTTCTAATCGCAACACCTATAAGGACAACGAGAAAGATCAGTTCATAGGATTCATACTGCTTAATTAATTGCTGATTTTGGTGCCACAAATAAAAGTGAACACACAGCTCACCTTAACTCGCTCAAACAATTCGTCTAAAAGGCGTATACTTTCTAGTTTCCTTTGGGCAATTAATAGCTTACGTTCCTCCACAGCTATTTTATAATTCATGCGCTGAGCTTCTTCTCTTTTCAGCCTTCTCAGCTGCCGGGCCTGATGTCGTTCTGCCTTGCGCTGTCTCCGTTCTTCAGCAACTTGAGCCTTTAATTGTTCTTCTTCTTCAGCTTGTTTTCTGTCAATTAGAACAATCAAACATGCAAAAGAGGAACTTAGCCAATCACCTTTTCAAAACAAAGAGAAGAAAATTTTACCTTAAATTTTCTGCCTCCTTTTCAGCTTCCTCTTTAGCTCGTCTTTCTTGTTCTTCTTGCTCTCTTTCTTTAGTCATCAGCCTTTCTCTTTCTAATTTTCTCTTCCGAATCGAAGTATCACTCAGATGTTTGGTACGATCAAAGTCAATCTTAAAGAAAAGAAAAACCAACTTAAAATTAAAAAAAAAAAAAAAAAAAAAAGGCACGATGCACTTCAAATACCTTGATACTAGCAGTGAAAGCCTTGTCTCCCTCTTTGTGAAGAAGTTTCATGCCACGCAAAGCATCCATAGCTTTCACAAAGCAAACATATTCTTGGTACTGAACGTAACCTTCAAACGCTAGCTCTTGGCCAAATGAAAATGTCTTCATACCAGAAATGTGAGCTTTCATCTGACTTCTGTAAGGGTCTAGCATGGGAATATCTACATATCTTATTTCACCAAACTGCTCAAAAACCTGATGATATTTAAACCAACATAACATTAGCAATCATCTGTTTAAAACTGGCTTCTCTTATCCTATGAGACCAAAATTTTCTTATTTTACCTTCCGAAAAACATATTCACTTGGTTTGTCACTTCCCCTTCCATTTTCTTGTCTTGATGAGAACCAACGACTAGGTAAGTTGGAGAGATGGATTGTATCTGGCCTCTCTCCTGGCTTCATTTCATTCATATTTTTAGCGTCTCGAAAATATGAGTCCCAAGTATGCCGTGATGGAAATGCTGTCTGAGAACGATATTTGAGATATAGAAACGTTTCTAGTTCATCCATGTATCTGTTTTCCAATGTATTCTCACTTACTTTGGCTTCTGCAGCTCGGACCTTCAATAGGTCAGAAAACCCGGATAGCTTGATTGTTCTGCCATCGAGGCGAGATACAACTTCACCTATGTTTGACTTGTTCTCAATTTCTCCTTCAAATCTGAAACCGAGGAATGAAATATGACGTTTCTCAGTTTTTAAGAGAATGCAGGATATATCAGACATAAATAGTTTGCACATACCGGATAAATTCTAGGGTGCTTTTGGAAACTTTCAAAACAGTAAATTGAACAGGTTTACCATGGTTTTTAATTTTTCCATCACTTCCCAGTTAGATATTGTTTTACCAGGAAGTTTCAACTGCGGAAGTTGTACAGAAACATTTAGTTTGGCAACAGGCTTGAGGTAAAGCTGTTGAGGAATAAATAATTCCACAGCATCACTAGTATCACTACATGTTTGAAAAGCACTGTTTAGTGTGTTGCTCACACTTCCAGGATGTCCGGCACTGTAAATGAAAAGAAAAAATCAGGTAATACAAATAGAAACATATTTATAGTGTAACCATTTTTTTTCCGTCAAGGGTTGAAGAAATCCTTAGGAAATCCTTAAATAGGTTGCAGAGAAAATTAAAATGTTCAAAGCAGGAAAGTGGCAGTACATTGATCTGTCAATGTTGACATAGAATTGTAACATTTTGAAGGTTAGGAAATATCAATGTAGTCAGTAGATATAGGTACATAAATATAAACAAACGCAAGCAGATAATTGTGATGTTATAGTACCTTTTGGCTTGATGGTGTGTCTTGCTCATGATTATTTTGATGGTCCCAGTGTAACGAGGCCGGATTACCTCAACATGAACGTAGCACCTCCCGAAACATTTGTTAGTCAGTGGGGTTTACCATACATCTATCAGTATGTGAGGAAATTAAGGTCATTTTCATAAGATGCTGGGCGAGTTCTACCGATTTCCACAGTTTAAGTCATAGCAAAGGCGGCAGAAATAAACATAAGTTGCCCCCTGGGTCTGTTTGCTGACAGGTTACACAAGGAGACGTCGCGACCGACGTCGGTCGCCGTTGTGCGAGACGAGGTAAACCAACCCACAAGTGGGAGTGAGACACAACATGCAGTTTTTCAAAGTGCAAGTGAGATGGACATGGAGGTAGTCAGTGCAATCAAAGTTATATTTGAAAATGGAAATAATAATCATCATTAAGTAGAAATATAAGGAACTAATGTGCTTTCTAATAAAAATGCGTGAATTTGTGGCATTGCCGGCTCTTCTTGAACAAAAATCCGTTTTTCTGATTTTCTGCCCGGTGCCTTTGACTCCGCGGAAGCGGCTGACTCAAAAAAGTGTTGTTTAAAATCAAGATTTCCCGAGTTTTGGGGGTGAAGTTCGTCGCTGCTGTATTTTGAGCGACATAAGGGATGGAAACACCACGGTAGACCAGTCAACAGGAAAACTGCATCAAGAATCAAGGGCAAGAAGCCGGTGCCGGGCGGTGCCGGGCCGATTGCTCTGCTTGCAACTCCCGCCCCGCGATTCGGCTGTGGTTTCCGACGTCGCCCAAATATTTGGATCCCCCACGACTACCGCGACCTCTGTATGTAAATCATTGAAAGATGGCGACATGAAAGTAGCGTGTGTTTGGGCACTCGAGTGTAAATTAGTAATTTGTTTTGATAAATGTAGGGTTAATTATATTTCTAGTAGTATGTTGCTCTTTGGAAGAAGTATTGGATCGTGACCCGCACCGTGCTCTGTGGAACCTCTTCCCCCAGTCTCAGGAGCTGCGGGACTTAGCAGTTTGGGTTAAAATAGTCGCAAAAGCTGTGGATTTGCGTCGGAATTTGGCGTGAAAATGCTGAAGTGAGTACCTGCAAATCATATTTGTGTTATGTTTTCAGTTCTTATTTTTATTTAAGTTAGTATATGACTGCCTCCGTTGAGTTTAAGTTCATTTTGTTTTGATGCGAGAATGAGGTTATGTTGTTGATTTGGCTGCTTGCATACCAAGGCCGGTCATCTTGGTATTGCGAACATTTCTCTTCATTCGCATTTGTGGACCTCGTTATAAAGCTTTTAATTGCATTTGTTTTGAATTTCAACTCCAGTTACTTCTAGACATAAGTGTAATTAAATTGTAAAGTGTAGCTTTGAAGGGCATTAGATGAGCCCAACGTGAGCTGGACAGACATATTGCTTTGTAGTGATTCTGTTTACCTCCTGAAACTACTCTTAAAACTTGGTTTGTAGGCTACTCTATCATTTAAAATGGCTCACATACTTAAGCATGCTAGGTTTCAGCACAAGTATGCATCTGGCGTGTAAGCTTGTGAGAGTTTCCGTTAGCTAGTTTCTGTATGAATGCCTCTATGCTGGTTTTGTAATTGAATTGGACTACAGTGCTCCTTCTTCATCCACTCATCCACACAGTTGTTAATCTGACTTTTTGTTTTTGTTTTTCTAGGACAAAGCACTTCTTTGATGTGAGGAGAAGAGTGTGAACTAGTTGTACCCAAGCAAAGGCATGGTAAAGTGAAAGGACATGAGCCAAAACATTGCAGGGATGGCACCCCTCGTCAGGTAACTTTCACAACACATTCTTCAATGATCTAGATTTAAGCGTAGAATTTATTATGTTTTACAAGGCCAACATGGCAAAGAATTTGATTTCTAGTTGCTTTAAACTATCAAATCATAAAATCTTTTTAAAAGCGTCATTCTGTTATTTTTCAGACAGCCCAAAATAAAATTGTCTTAAACCAATATGACACAAATGTCATCTTACATCATATTATGTCTTAACTTCTGTTTTGGGATGGCAGTGGACAAAGCCAAATGTCTTGAGTGTACTTTTACAAATCTGAGATTTAGTTTCCTTTGGCTTTGAAGTCGTGGTCGTGTTGCAGTATGGCTCGAGGCAGAGCTCCATATCAGTACCCTGGGGTTGAGGCGCCCCATCGGGGTCCTTTGTACCCAGACAGCAAAGGCATTTGCAACCCTTTTGGGTGAGTGCAATTGTCTTAGGTTCTGAATGCCTCTCTCTCTCTCAATTCACTCTCTTTTTCATATTTTATAACAATCTAATCGTCAGCCTATGCAGTTTGCATCTGCAGATTCTATAATCTGATTGCAGCTTCTATGGATCTTGGTGTTTCTGTTATTTGCCTTGCTGGAACTAACAATAGGTTTCAGTGTCAAGGGCACTTTTGGTTTTTAAGAAAATAATCCTTTATTTGAAAATTAATTAAAAGAGCAGCTTAATTAACAACTCAGCAACAGTTTTCTTAGAGTTTCTGTTAGTTGTTTTGGTTCCCAATAAAGAAATTCTGCCTGAGGTGTATCATCGACTTTGCTTGCAGATTATTACCTTTCGCTTTGGTTATGTAATTTTCAAAGCTTTTTTTTCTGTCCACTTAATATTACTTAATATCACTTAAGTTTCCAATACTGTATTGTAAGAATTTGCTGATCTGCCTCATGTGAAGTTATGTCTGTTATGTTTTTAACTTAATGATATTTAATTACGTTAACATAGTTTAAGTAGAGAAGTTGTCCTGCCATCAGTTACACTCTTCATTTTTTTATATTCCTCCTTGTATTCCTACAAGAAACAATATTAATTTTTAATTTTTCTCTAGAAACATGCCGATGGGTGCAATGAGTATGGATCTTAAACCACCACTTGGTAGTGGGCTTGGTGGCCCCATGGAGCCAGCTCCTCCACCACCAACAACCAATGCCAAAAAGAGGAGAAGGACGTCCAGTGCTGCAAATGCTCAACCACCCCCGCAGCCTCCACCAACACAGGTGCAAGACCTTCTACCTCCTCCTCTCTCTGGTACGCACAAGTTCAAATTTATTTTGTGTCTTATTATTTCAATTTTATAGTATTCAAATTTCTTTTATCACACTTGCTAAATTCCTTTTTTTTCCTGCTGGTCAGGCTATGGAGATACCATTATTGCATCCAACCCGTTCGATGACACTCCTCCGTCATCGGGCATGGCGATGATGCACCACATGAATCACCACCCTCACCACCCGCACCACATGGGTGCCATGAGTCCAATGGGCAGTCCGATGGGAAGCCCAGGCATGGGTGGGCTCAACTCGGCCCCCATGGGTCCTGGTCCAAGTAGGATGATGGGACCTGGGCCAAGAATGAGTGGGCCTGTTGGACCGGGAGGTATGATGGCATCACCCAACATGCCGGGTCCCATGGGAGGTCCTGGCATGGGGCCCATGGGCCCTATGGGAATGAACAACTCCCCAATGAACTCAGGTCCCATGAATTCTCCCCTTGGAAATTCTGGCATGAACACAAGCCCTTTAGGAATGAATTCGATGGGTGGCCCACCCATGAACAGTTGTCCACCGATGGGCAGCCCTATGGCTGGAAGTCCCATGAGCAGTGGAGGTGGTGTAAATAGTGGACCGCTGAGCAGTCCCATGAATAGTTGTCCACCTATGGGTAGTCCAGGAATGGGAGCCCAAATTGGTGGCCCTGGCGGAAGTCCAATGAACAGGCATCTGACTAGCCCTATGGCGCATATTAGCCCCATGGGAAACCAAGGAATGAACAGCGGTCCTCCCATCGGGAGTCCATTGGGCCACATGAATTCGGGGCGAATGGGGAGTCCCATGAACAACATGAATAATGGCCCTATGGGTTCAGGCCCGTCCATGGGTTCGGGCCCGTCCATGGGTCCTAACCCTTCCATGAACAACGGCCCCAGTAACAACTGCGGACCTGGAATGATGATGTCGATGGGTCACCACCACGGTCCACCTCATGGTCCTCCGCACGGTCCACCTCACGGCGGTCCTCACGGTCCACCCCATGGTCCGCCACATGGCCCCCACGGTCCTCCCCATGGTCCTCCTCACGGTCCTCCCCATGGTCCTCCTCACGGTCCTCCCCATGGTCCTCCCCATGGACCTCCTCACGGACCACCTCACGGACCCCCTCATGGACCACCCCACGGACCACCCCATGGACCACCTCATGGACCACCACACGGGCCACCGCATGGTCCCCTCCACGGTGGACCTCCGCATGGCCCTCAAGGCATGCAGCACTGCCCACCGCACATGGGCTCCATGGGTCACTTGCATCACATGGGAATGGCTCATGGTTTCCCTGGGCCCAAACCTATGCCCGTGTCTGCTGGAAAGGTAGTAATTAATTTTATCTAAGTACGTAAAAATTTATTATTTGTGTCAGATTGATTATATTAATGCGAAATTTATTTTGTTCCAGGTGTATCCTCCAGACCAACCTATGGTGTTCAATCCTCAAAACCCTAATGCACCTCCAATTTATCCTTGCGGAATTTGCCATAAGGAAGTTCATGATAATGACCAAGCCATTCTTTGTGAATCTGGATGTAATTTCTGGTTCCATCGGTATGTTCTCTTTTACAATATCAACACATTGGACTGCCATTTGGTTTCTTATTCATTGACTTAATTTGGCTGTTTTTTATGTTTTCAGGGTGTGTACGGGTATAACAGAGGCTGCTTATCAACTTCTGACCGCTGAGGTGTATGCAGAATGGGTCTGTGACAAGTGCTTAGCATCCAAAAACATACCCTTGGTTAAATTTAAGCCATAACCTTCAATTGTAGTTAACTCAAAGAGCCTACTGCTTTCATGACTGCCTCTTTATATGTATAATTAAGAAGAATCAAAGGAGGGATGGGTGTTGTGTTTTTCCATATGTTGTTTATGTTGTGTCCAAAAGGAATGCAGTAGGGGTTTTTATGTTTTGAGGAAGATTGTTTGTTGCTGCAAAGAACACTTCTTCTTGTCTCCTTGTGAGAGAGTCAAAACAAGGAAATGTCAGCGGTTTTGGGCCATTTAGACCTCTGTTTTCTATGTGTAATTCAGCTCCCTGTAAGTTAAACAACATTCAAATCAGTTTGTTATGGCCTTCCTAGTTGTTAATCTCTTGGCATCAAAAGACCCTGCCCATGGCTCAACACTTTGTAAATACAGTATAAAACTAGGATGTACCTTTTTTTAGTGCTTTTAAATAAAACTTGGAAAGACAACCTTGTTGTGGCAATTGATATAAATTATCTGCAAAGGCAATAAATGTGTGCCGTCAAGCCATGATTACCTGTATGTTCTGTCTCTAGCTACCGTCTGCCACTCCTTACTCTTGTACAGTAAGTATAGAAATTATAATAGTATGTGAATTGTGATGATTGTCATAGGTTGTGCCAGTAGCTGTGGCTTGACTTGCACACATGTTCTTATGGCCATGCTTAGAGCAGGCCAGTGTGATAAATGCCCTCCAGATTGAAAGTGTCAAAGGTTGTGTTTTCTCTTGTGAAATTCTCAGGTTAATCAGTCTGTGTTGTGATCTGATGAATCATTGTGCGAAGAAGCTACTTGCTATGAGGTGGCGCCTTGTTTTAATGCTACTTAACAATTTTATGTGATTTTCTGTAGTTTCCTTTTTTAAAAAAAAATGACTGTTCTCATTAATGCTAGAATCAAATCAGTTATCTAGAACAAATGAAATCTTTTGTTGTGATTTTATCTCTGAGTCTGAAGATTTGTCACTATTTAATTGCCACATAAATTCTCATTGAAATCTTGTTTTTGTTGCCTGTTAGTTGAAGGTTTTCCAACTGTATGCTTAGTTCAGATCGCTTTGAACTGAGCTAGCTTTTGGCTATGTTCTTAACTCCTTTGATGAAGTATTAAAATGTGCTCTGTAAGTTATTTGTTTAAGGTGCAATGGTGTGTGGATCATGCAGCACGTGATAAGTCAAGTTTCCATTCTGTATGCCCATGATTCTGTATGACTCGGACCAGATAGTAGATTAAGTGCTGTCCGGTGTTGTTCCATCCTGGTTTCTTACAGTAAAAATTTATTTGATTTCTATTGTTTGTTGCACATTTCTAGGTTGAAGTGCTAATGAATTGTGTTATTGATAGACAAAATGTTTCTTGCCTTTTTAGTCTCTCTTTCAAATTGCCATCTTGCCTTGTGGCACCCTGTGTGATCAAATGCGTATTTAATTTGTATTATTAAATTTATATGTTATTGGACGAAAAAATTCCAAATGCAGCATGTCATGGAACACAATTGCAGAGGGTGTCCATTTTTCTGTCAAAGCACAACCATACACAGAAAGTTAGATCTCACTGATGTTGCTTTAAAATTGAAGAATACCGTTTATACTTTAACTATGTAAGTTTTTCTGTTCTAGTGCTGTTTTATTGCACAACTCAGTGTTTTCCTAAATTATTGGGGCACTTCATTTCTTTTTCGGACTTTTGAATTGGATTATTCTCACCACGTGTTGCATGCAATTCTGCATGCATTGTGGAATAAGTCATGTAACAAACGAGACTGAACACTCGTAGAGTAACTTGTGTCCTCATGCGTTATTGGTTTAGTTTTTATCTTATTTTATTATTACCTTATAAGTAACTATTTCAACTCATCTATGTGGCATTGCTGATGCAAGACACTTACTTCTTAGGAAAATACATCTTTAAAGTGTACAAATTCTTGCCTAAACAAAGAATGATCTAAATTCGTGTATTGTTTCTAAAGAAGTGTAGTTTTTCTTCTTTGTTTTTCTACTCAAGAGACATCCATTTCAGTCATTCTTTATTTGACTACATGTGCAGCTACAAAATCTGTTTTGTTGGTCCTCTGTCTGAATTTTATTCATACCTTCATGAACATGGCATATTTATATTGAGCATAGTACAAAGTACAAAGGCAAACTTTCTCATCTTTTATAGAAAGACTGCACAAGGGCAGCTGAGCTTTACATTGTAATGTGTACCAGTGCAAGAATGTTTTGCTGTCATCCCAGTGAAGCCTTGACTTGCTTACATTAATTTTTGATTGTTGTTGCTTACACCTTCTGAATGACAAATATTTTTAATTTAATCAACAGTTAGGAATATGTACAGTAACATTTATGCTCTCATGCCTGTAATTTGTTTTACTTATGGTATGGTGTAATTTGTACATATACTACAACCTGTTGTTGCTGAATATCTTGAGATTTTTGTGTATTGACATGGATGTTGCTATCACAATCTTAATACCTCTAGAAGTTTTTATGACTTTACAGCGACCTGTCAGGTTTTGGTAATGATGTATTGTAACCTTTTTTTTCTAACTTTTTTTTTGTTTTTCAATAAACAAATGATTATTACTTATTAACATCACTTGGTTTCTTGAGAAAAAATAAACATAATTTTGTGCATAGTTTATTTTTTATCATGTGAATAAAATATATCAGCAATAAACATTGTTATACATTTCAAGTGTTGTCTCATTTTTGTCTCTGGAGTGTTCCTATGATCAGTTCTCTCACTCTCTCACGCCAAGACATGCAGGAAAAGGAGAGCATTAGTTGTGAGGTGATGGCTACTATGGGAATATCCTGGGTTCTAGTTGCAGGTGGGTTTATCTTTTCCCCAGTTCGCTTCTGCAATCCAGTGCCATTAGTGTGAGTGAGGGCGCCACTGTAGCAACTGTTCCAGTGGCTAGGATGGTTGAGGTGATGGCATGTGTGAGTACGTGCCTGTTCAAGCCACAGCCTCAGCAGCCATGAGGGTTTGTGAGGACTAAAAAGAACAACAAAACTTAATGGAAATTTCTTAGTTTATTAGGACTCTTAAGAGCAGTTGAATTAATGTCTCCAGGCTCAACAAAAAGGACACTTCAGAAGACAAGACCCAATTATTCAAAACACTGCATACTGCAAAAACAAAAACTGAGATCATACCTGATGCATAGAATTGAGAAAAAGCGCAAAACTGTTACTTTTGTTAAGCCATTTTGACTTGTGTCAAGATAACACTTCAGCTAGACAAATATCCGATGAAGAGAGAAATAAGAAAGAAAAACAAAAAGGAAAGATTAACATATACCTGGAAAACCGTTCCTAAGCCAAAAGGGCTCACTAAACAGCAATCACAATGAAACAAATAAATAAAATAATGTGAAAATTGTGTGAACTACAAGTAACATCATCCGTCATAAGCAAATGAAAATCACAATTCATTGAAGACAAGAGTAAGAGTCAAGAAAACTCTTAAATACTTCAACTTGAGGCACATAAAGTAACTATGTGTCAGTATTATGAAACGATGTGCCCTGAAATAAGTTACAATTATCGTCTGTACTGCAAAATTTTCTTTCATTTGCATATCAGTTTAAGTGCAGTAAGAAAGAAATTCTACATTATATTCTAACCTCGCACAGATCTGCTGTGTACACACAAGCAGAGGACAAAATCCCAAGAGGAATTTTGACTACATATTATCATATATTACATTAGCCATGTTGACCACTGCATTAGAAATGAGCCAAACTAGGCATATTTCATTTCTAAGTTTCTTCACAAAGGGAGGGGTAAAGAGCTAGTAGCATGAAAACAGGTATTAGACACAAAACAAGACATAAAATGGTTGCTGAATTAAGTTTAGTTGCAATGTACAAGTTGTGTTAAAAATCAACCTCCACAAACACAAAAAGAAATGTCAGTCTTGCACGCAATCTGGATTACTGTTGGACTATAATCAGTATTGTGCGAGATTCTTCATTGAACAATCATTATGTATGTGAAAAATATAGCACATCCACAATTCAGTCGCATCTTACATTGATCCAGAAATAAATAAGGTCTACATATTTTGTGATAAGGCAGGCAAGTTGTAAGTCACCAAATTGTGCTATTTTCATGCTGCATAATATCAAGAACGTAATACAACCCTAAATGACACAAGACAGCAGAGGAAACATTTGAAAACTTAACCCAAACCCGAGTGTTGTGCATCTTAAAGAGAAGGCGCACAATTTCTTCAGCTGATTACAATAATAATTGGCTGTCTCTTTTAAATCACAGCCCATGTGTCAAAAACAGGTAAAATTTACATGCCTTCAAAATTTGTACTACATTAACAGGTTTTGTAATTCATTTTGCTTTTTTGCCATACTGTCAAATCGGGAGATAATTCTATAAGAGATATTGCACGGAAGACCTCTGAGAGTTAAGTAATAAAAACTGCAGTCTAGAATCTTTGTGCCTCAGAAAATTCAAAGGAAGCATTGCACAAAAGAGGAAGATGCATTGGAACTTGTACAAAGGCAAATTACCTTGGGACGAAAAAAAAGTCAAATGGCTGGGCTGGGGAAAAGAAGGCTTAACATTCTGTCGATTCAAAATTAAATCCACTGGGATCCTCAGCAGTCAAGACTAAACATGATTATACATGTACATAATATTCTATCATGATGTCTAAGAAAAACCTTGTGCTTTGATCAATTCCACATCTTTGACCATACTTTGGACAATAATGGCAAATAAAACTTCAATCTTTGTAGCAAAAGGTCAATCTACTGCAGAACTCTCCTAAACACACAACAGAGAGCTAGGAAAACAAAATAAAATAAATAAATATTTGAAATGTTAGGACATATGGAAGCATGATTGAACGCTTTGACAGCTCATTATAAATTCATTATGAAACAATGGAAACAGAAAAAACGAGTCTCCTCATTACTAATGAATTTTGTTGAGAAACAACTCTAAAATCATTTTTACAAACAATGAAAACAGTTAGTTTCATTAAAACCTACACAAAAAAAATCCAAGGAACAAATAAGCCCCTCCTGTTGGCATGAGTGTTATTAGTCTAGAAACTAACTTATAATGCAATAAAATTTTTATGATGTTAAAAGGTTTGGAGGGGACAAAACTTTTTAACAGTTGCACAGAAGACTATTGACAGAGTAAGTAGCATGTAACAAGTAACATGAAACATGATCACCTTAGAAGGACACAGCCACAACAAAGTTCACATCTGAAACAACTGCTCAACGTATAACCATTCAGTTTTGAGAACAGAAAATAAATGAAAAACTTTTGTAAGAGTACAATTAAGTGCCAATTTCCGTGAGTCTACAAGACCTGTACAAATTCAATCTAAATTATTAAAATGACTAGTATCCTGCTTTTAAATAAAAAGCTATTACGGCAAATGTCTAGATAACACCATAATTACAGGGTTCCCGAAACTAAATAAATTAAATTTTACATCCTGAACAATACCAAGCCTTCCCACCATCTTACACTACGTTCGATTCATCTCAGTTTCGGTTTATGTAAAATGCAGGACATACAATGCATTGCATTTGCTAACATTAGTAACTCCGAATACAGAACAAATGCTATGTGCAAGCCCACATAAGGCTCTTGTTTCTCTTTGTCACTTAACATTATTGATCAAAACACAAGAACTAAATCATAGGCATGCCAAATCAAAGAAAAGACCTTTCTAGGTCACCTTTAAAGAAATAAAGTATAGATACCCACAGTAGCAGGATTTGTTTATTAATTCTACATTCAGCTTCTACACACAATATTTAAAAGAAAGCAAGTATTAAAGAGCACTGAATTGTTTAAAACAATTATTGACTATAGTTGAAGTAATCTAACGAATTGATAGAACCATCTAGCAACTATGTGCAAAGCACATTTAGCTAGGTAGGACCCAAGACTACAGAAATTATTAAAGAGAAAAGTGACAAGGAGAGAACAAGAAGGATGATGCAGGACACCCCATATGAACACACTGGCTAAATTCACAACTTTAAGTATCTTCACAAACACAAGTGGGTCCCTCCTGTAAGCATTTATTAATGAAAATAAGCACTTACCAGAAACCAGAATCTCAATTAAATTTCAATGGATGACTAATTACAAATCAACAACTTTCTTTTCATTCCATAGTAGACTCCAAATTTCAATTCATAGCTTGGTATTAAGTTCAGATACAGGCTCTAAGATAAATAAGTAAATATTATAGTCGACAGTTACCCCGACCCATTGGGAGCAGGATGTTGGCATCAACCAGGGTATCAAGCTTCAGTAGATGTAGTTCTGTTTGATCCTTTTGGTGTATAAGCAGTTGCATTTGGATCCAAGTTGGACAATGTGGACATGCCAGGTTCTGTTAAGAGAAGTTTTGACGTAGCTCCAGTGGATAATGGGCCGAAGGAGTCGGTTGGCATCACAGCCAAGACTTGCGCCATTTTACTGTTCAACTCATCAACTTCTCGCTCTTGCTGTCGGAGTAAAGCTGTAAAAATAAAGAAATAGAGAGTAGTAAGAATAGAACGTGAAATTATGCAAGTACTATGTTTGCTCAGTGGAAATCTATGATATACTTGAATGAATTAAACAATACTTTTACAGATTGACATTGACTTAGTATGAGTAAACACGGTACAAAATGATGCTCTTACCATCACGAATTTCCAATTGTCTTTTAGCTTCTCCCAGAGCAGAGAAGAGGTCCAATTTAATTCGAGTTTCGGCACTCAAGCTGTTTTCTAAATGAGCATTCTTCTCTTGCATAGCAGAGAATGCTGACAGTAAAATTTCAGTGTCAGCTTGGCTCTCCTTGAATTGACGCAATGTCTGCAACAGTTAAACAGAAGCAAAGTCAGGATGGAGAAAGAATGATAACCAATGCTCAAAAAGATGGAACAAGTGTACAAGGAAAACTTACAACAATTTCTCTTTCAATAGTTGCAATGCGATCCTCTTTTGATTTAATCTCTCTCTGGAGCTGTTTGTTTTCGGCATCAAGCTCACGTCGGCGCAGTTTGCATGATTCAGTACATTCAGACCTGGAGTGATCAGAGGAAAATAAAAAAGGTTTCAGCATGAATATAATTTTTTCAGTTTCAAAGCACAAAATAGGATAACTTACTTGTTTGCTGCAGATGCTGCAGCAGCTGCTGCTATGGCAACTGCTCTGGCCGTTGCAGCGTCTTCTGCTTTTTTGGCCTTGCGCTCAGCAGCAAGTTGAGATTCAGCATTAGTGCGTAGGCGACGTTCTTCTGCCAATCGCTTCTCATTTTGGGCTACTGCTTGCTTGTCTGATTGACGGGCTGACACGAGAACATGTAGCCTAAAATGAGAAAATATTTTCAAAAATTATTACTGTTGAATTACATGACTCAGGGTATCCAATTTTTTAAGCAATAAATGAATACTGTAGATGCTTACTTAGCCTGAAGTTCTTCATTATCTTTTTGACATTGAGCCAGTTCACATCGGATGCTTTTCTCAGCAAGCTGATGTGTAGTGATCTGACTCCGTAAATCTTGTTCTGTTTGGCGGCTTGACTGAAGATCAATCTTGAGTCTTTTAACATCTGCTTCCAGTCTATTAAATTTTTTTTAAAGATTTAGTTAGTATTAAAAAACATGTGAATAGATGCAAGGTAAAATTTGAAATATCTTACCGCTGGTAGTAATCATCCTTGGACGAACTATTACTTGAGCTATCAGATGTGTCTCGGTTTGCTTTGTTTCGACGCTCGCGTTGAGTATTTACTGAATTTTCCTTCACTTGAGTGCTGTTCCACCGGCTACCAGATCCATGTGACTTCATATTATGAGAGCCTTTGACACTTTTATCATGTTCCTCATTTTCATCAAAATCATTAACAGACCTACATATAGAGGGGAAAATATATTAACTTTTTGAATCAAAATATTTAAGCATTAACTCACAAAGTCCAGCCAAGAAAAATTGATGAAAATTAAACATGATTGACTTAAAAATACCAAGGCACTATGACTCACCCGATTCTTTCAATGATTTCAATGTCAGAATGAAGTAAAGATCCATTTGAATGGGAGTATTTGTAAGAACATTTCTCTGCGGTACTTTCAGTAGCTTGATGCAGAGTTTTGTCTTTGTCTTTTTCTCGTTCTGCTTTCTCTGAATGCTTTTTGTGTTCCTTTTTAGGTACTGGAGGTGAACTTGTGATACTTATCTGATGAACTACACCATTACTTTCGCCTGTGGATAGATTAATGTTACAATCACATCATTATCATAGTGAAAAGCACTACATAATTTCAAAATAGCACAAACAATAATTTTATTTGAGTCTAGACATAATTTGCAGCAATATTGAATACCTTTGCTCTTATCTGGAGTTAACTGTTGGTTTTGTTGAGGTGGCTGTGGTTGCTGTTGTGGTTGCGGAGCTGGTGGAGGCTGTTGTAATTCAGGAGGCAAGGCCTGTCTTAACAGCTGCATATAAAATTCATTCTCTTTAGCTACATCTTTTTGCTTTCTCTGAAAAAAGGACAAAGATGCAGATTCAACATTAATGTAAAAACAGACGGTGGCATTCTAGTCAACTGTCAAGAGGCAAAATGCAGAATAACATACTTGTCTCATTCTGTAGCCAATATAACTTTTGAATCCAAATCCTAAAGTTACAACAGGGTACCCGATGCTGCAACATAAAATATCCAATAAATACAGTAGCAAATGTGATTGAAAAAGCAGTATATGAACCTGGATTATGTACTGACCAATGAGCAGCAAAGGGTCTACAGAGGTCTAAGTGGAAAGGCATGTGACGTACATCTCGAAGTCTCACCGCTACTTCCATATATACAAATACCATCCACAGGATGCATGTAGGCAGACAAAGGCCTTTTTCTGTAAAAAAATAATGATGATAATAATAATATAAATTGCATGAAATATTGGCCTGTGTCATAAATTAAAATTTCTAAAATTGAGCACAAACCTGTGTGCCAAACATATTGCACCCACACATATGTACTTGCAGCAAAGAATAACCAATGTACAGGAATGAAAAACAAACAAATCATGTCTGAAGTCAGTGCTATACAGATGAAAAACACTGAGAAGGCCTAAAACCAATGCAAAATAAAACAAAGTTAGAATGTTGGTATATTGAGGAGTCGTTTAAGTTTTAGAGACTAACACTTTTACTCACCAGGCCCTGATACTTGAATGAATCATAAACACTGCGAAGGAGCAGGTAGAATGGCCACAGATATTCAAATCTGAATTCAAGGAGGAAGTCTGCAAGGAGCACAAGGGCCCATAGCACCAGGAACTTCAAGTACAGCAAAGAACTGGATCACAAGAAAAACGAACAGAAATAAACAAGGGGGTTACAACAAATGAATGACAATGAATGAGAATAATAAAATAAACACAACCGCTGGTTTTAAAAAAAACAATAACTACGTATAGCAGTAGTTATTAACTAGACAGACAAATCTAATCTTCTTCAACACAATTGTGTGAAATAAAAATATTGCAAAAAGATTTTAGGGCTTAAGTTTACTAGTGTAGATTTATCAAGGAGTGAAATCCATTAGAGGTTGCCTAGCAAGCTCAATCACAGATGAAAGTGGCTACCACCACATAAGTAACGCATAAAGTTGACTAAACTAGAAAGAAAAGGAGGAATACATGTTTAAAGAGTTTTGTTGTGTAAGTGTTTATTTCATAAAAGGGCAGGTTTTGAAAAAAAAGGACTTCCTGGTTGTAGGGAGCAGGGGGAGATGGAGAGAGAGGTCTAAGGAAACCAGCCAAACAATCAGAGTAAGGCGTCAAGGGCGAAAGCTTGTGATAGGCCTTAAAGAATGTTGCCGAAAGACGATTCATTTCCATTGAATATAAGCGACTGTTGACTGGTTTAGGGATAGGGGAGAAAGTAACAAGAGTTGGGTTAAATGTCAGCCATTTTGAAACACATATGGAAAAGTGCCTTACCTTCCCCAAATTCCATCCGTTACTTTTGTTTTCTTTAACGGCCTCCGAAGCTTACAATCGGCATTTCTCCTCTTCATATTCCTTACAGCTAAACCTACTGTAATACAGGTACAACTACCAGATCCTGCACCAAAATAAGTTGGATTTCACATCTAATTCAACATTTGTTATTATCTGTCGGGATATTTCAGTGCCTGCTGGATCAAACCGAGTCTCAGTGCGGCTGAGGGGAGAAATCGGAGAAATCTTCAAGGTTTCTCGCTCGGTGGGGACAAAACGGGAGACGTTTCACGCGGTAGTGTTGGTACGAGCTCGAGTGAAGAGCAGAAGCAGAAGACACTACGACGTCAACAAACAATTGCGGCAGTTGTGTTTGTCGAACGCTCTGCATTGTTCTTGCGCTCTGTACCTGTGTTTTGGGACGTCACACGTCTGATTTGATTGTTGCATTTACTCAGGTTAGTACTCAAAGTCATATTATGTCTTGCGATACCACTTACACGCCTGTCGCTGTGCCATAACCAAGGCACTCCAGCAACTTTTTATTAAGTAACTGGTTTCCACTGGTTGATTATGACATCTTTTAACTGTTGTCTATGTGTAACCAAAAAAATATACTTGTATTTTTCCCTAGATTGTGCATCATGGGCTGGGTTTTAGAAATTTTTAAAATGGGTATGTATGTATCATTCCCAGTAGCCCTATTCCATTACTTCAACTCACCTGGAAATATTGAAGAAAGTTTAGTTCAAACTAGACAAGAATATATCAGCAAATATATAGGAGATTATGAATATGAACGCAAGAGAGACGAGATACTTGCACGTAAAACTAAGCAGCTGGAAGAAAAAATGAGAGTGGACTGATTGTGTTCATCAGCTGCATGATTGTTCTATTGTTAGATGTTTAGTATATGATCAAGATGAAATCAAAGATTGTCTTTTCTGGATGAGCTCATTTGTTAACCAATTAATGTCCTTGCAAGATTTGTGTCATATTAAATTCTGTTGCCTATTTCGCTGTTGCAGTTTTATTGGAAAAAGGTGAATAAAGCAAAAACAAAGTAATATCAGAAGTACTTTATTCATTGTATCACAGGTCACTCTTTTGATGCCTTTAATTAAATTGAAACAGCATCATTATAAATGTTTAAAACTTCATTATTTGCAAAATAAAAGGAATTAAAATGGATTACAAAGTAGTTACTTTTCTTAAAAATTAAAATAGCCACAAAGGCACATAATAAGCTTATAACTTTATAGATTCCATTTCAGGACTTTTAGAAACAGTCTTTGGTTGAGAAGGTTTGGCTATCAAAGATGCATTGGTCTTTATTCCAGCCCGAAGAGATGGACGGGTGAAAGGTTTTGTAGTCGTACTGGGTGGTTTGATAAGGGATGTCACCTTCGTCACCACACTTTGTGTCCCACTGCTTGCCTCTGGAGGCCCTGAGCATAGAGAAGAGGTTTATTAAACACTTTGTCGACAACACTCTCCTTGCTCAGCGACCCTCCATTTCAAGAAAAATTGTAAAGTATTACCCTTTTTGTTGGCGTCCGACTTAGTCCTGTTGAGCAGACTGGTCGTTGGCGTCTGCCTGGCTTTGGCGGATAGCGCGGTGGTGGCGGTGGTCCCCGTCCCCGCGCAGGCGCTGATCGTCCTGCGGAGCGTGGGGCCGTTGCGGACGGACGCCAAGGTCTCGGGGCCCATCTTGCACGTGCTCGCCGTGGGGCGCGGCGGCCGGGGCGTGTCCGAGTGCGACGACGTGGACTGGACGCTGCCGAGGCCGCTGGAGCTGGACGCCGACGAGGTCCGCGACAGAGGACGCAGCGGCTGGGCGAACCTGTCGGTGGACATGCGGCGCGAGACCGCGGACAAGCGGCGACTGGGGCCCACCGGAGTGTTGCGCAGATTCTAGAAAACAGAACGCACTTCAGCCTGGGATCACGGAGTGCAAACGGGCTGGCCCTGGCCATGAAGGCCATGGGGCTCCCATGCTACTCACCGGCTTCTTGACGCCAGTCAGGAGGCACATGGCCTCCTGCAGCAGGTCCGTGGCCGCCATCACGTTCAGTTCGTCGCCCTGCAGGGTGGTCCACTGGCTGTTGAGGGACCCCGGCGGCGCGCTCAGGCGCCGGTTGACCGGCGACGCCGTGTCCTGCGTCGCGCTGCCGCTGGCGGAGTCTCCGTCGCGGCTCCAGGTCCTCTGACGGGTCAGCCTCGGCGGGGCGAGGGCGTTGTCGTCAGTGGTGGACGTCATCGAGATGTTGAGGGGATCCTCCAACTGCCCCACGGCGGACGGCGTAGGTGACGTCGCACGGGAGGGCGCCTGCCAAGCAGAGGAGTCATTCATTCATTCACACTCTCATTCGTTCATTCGGCCCATTCGACTCTTTGCGGTAGCCAACACTCACCTGTCCGGCGCGGCCCGGGGGATGCAGGTGGTTGTTGAGGGCCTCCTCCGACGGGCAGGTGCAGGGCCCCTCGCCCTGCATCACGACGCGCGTGCCGGACCGCTGGCAGATGATGATGGCCCTGCAGCCGGCGCTGGAGCCGCCGCGCTCGCCCTTGTCGCTGTACTTGACGTCGAAGCCCGCGCTCAGCAGCATGCCCACCAGGATGGGCAGGTCCGGCGCCGACGGGGTGCTCGGCACGTCCACGTCGGGGACCGCGTTGCCCTGCGAACGCGTAACGCCACCATTGAAACGGGTCTGCTTTGCGACGCACTGCACCGTCGCATGCCGGTCTTACCTCATCCTTCTCCTTCGGGGCGAAGAATTTGAGCATATGGTTGAGGAAATTGGCCTGCATTTGACTGTCCATGGCGGCCCGGACAAGTCCCGTTGATCAGTAGTTGGTTCCGTGACGACGATCTCGGTCTGTGTTCGCGTGGTCGCTCGACGAGCTGGGACGTCGGTTTGGGTTTGTGGTCAAACGTTGTGTTCACCTTCGCGTCCGCTCGCCCACTGTGACTGTGGCGCTGCTGCGCTGCCGGTGGCCGTGCGGGCCGTGCGGCGCGTCGTCCGGCGTCGTCTGTCGTCGTCTGCTGCCAGGTGTGCGCGCCAAAAAATCAAAACAACCGATAGGAGGGTGTGGGGAGGGATTCCCCGCCACACGCGCTCGCACTACACGCACCGGCACAGTAATCATAGCAAAACTAGTTATTCTCAGTTATTGATTTGTGTTGTGTTGGGATTTGTGTTCCAACGTTGGGGCATGAAAAGTAAAGAGGGTGCAAAAGAAAACAACGTTGCTCTTCATGAAATAAATATTTATTTTCATAGAAAATGTTGACGAAGTGTCCAAAAGACGGACGTCTCTTCTACATAGCATCAAATATTTGATCCTTTCAGAAATAACACCAGATAACAATAGCATGTCCACTGTTTTTGGACTTACAGACGATAAGGAGATTTTGGCCACAGTATGAACTACATTCAGACTTCAAACGAGTGAGTGGTTCAATCAAAATGAACAAATGGACAATGATTAACGGGCTTGTTAATTTTATAAAACACCATTCGCCACTTTAACTTGCACAAAATATTGTTATGAACATCCCAATATTTGAGCTGAAAAATGACATTGTATTGATTCAATTAATTATAAACAAATGCAAACAAACCTAATATCTAATAACTTGGCTTACTTTTAAATTTCAGCATATCACTACAAGAGTAAAAATTAATTAAGCATGGCGATTTTATTCATTCACATCTAAGTATCACATGACTTGAAAAAATATATACAAACTCACTTCACAACTGTCACCAAAATATTTTAATTTGGATACAAAAAGTAATGTAGTGGTCAAAATGTGTTGCTTGAAAATGTAGTGAACTTTTAGTTTCTGTGTATTATGAAGTTTCAATGGCAAGATTATTCTAACGGCTCACATTTGCCCTAAACACAAGGATACATGGCATGCCGCAGACTATCACAAATGTGGTTGCATCTGAAAATCTGAATCGAAATGCGCTGGCTCCAACACATTATTCAGCAGCCTGGTAACTTTTATAAGACTGGCACTTGCCACAGTCACACACACGCAAATGCTTTAGGCCGTTCCGTGAGCGTCTGAGGCAACCAGTTTAAAGTTCACATAAATCTCTTGCAGGAAAATTCGCCTTGACGCAATCTCTAGACGAAGCTTCAAAGACCATAGTACGTACAAACAATACAAAGAAGACTATGACAGAGTAAGTAAGTCTAAGCAACAGTCTAGTCCCACTCAGCAAGGTGCAGGAATCTTTATCACAGGTCCACACCTCTGCCGTGCGAGTAACAGTACAAAAAGAAGGGCGCCCTCTCCAGCCTGGCGCCCCTTCCCCTCCCCTCCGCGCCCCGCCCCGCGACACTACGGCCCGTTCCTGCCGAGGCGCGCGCCGCCAGCGAACACGGGCCGCTGATGGGAGGTGACGGGGATGGGCGGCAGTGGCCGCGCAGGCAGGGGAGGCAGCGACAGCGGCGCCAGCGGCACGGGCGCGGAGGCCGGCGCGGAGGCCGGCGCCGACGAGGGTGGCGACGGGGCCGATGGAGACGACGGTGGTCGCGGACACGCCTCCAGCAGGCGCTCGCCGCCCAGCAACGTGATGGGGTTCTCGCGGTGGTACCGGACCAGATCCTCTGCAACACCAAACATACGGTCAGCCACACGGAGTCCCTGATGCAAGACGACACTCTCCCGGATCGACGCGCTCACCTAGGGACTTGTGGCAGATCTGGTTGGCGCCCAGGAACTGGTAGCCGCCGCCGGGGCCTGTCGTGTCCACGAGGTAGTGCTTGCACCGGCGGCTGGTGGACGGCGGCGAGCTGGCGTCCCGGTCCCGGTAGCTGATGGCGTAGCCCCACACGCGCTCCGACAGGCGCACGAGGAAGGCGCCAGGGCCCCTGCTGGCCAGGCGGGCCTCGGCCTCGTGCCGGCTGATGAGGCCGTGGAACCAGGCGTGCGGCGCACCCGAGGCGTCCAGCCCCGCGCGCCGTGGTTGCGGCTCCTCCTTGGTGCGGTACCACTGCAGCACGGCCTCGCGGCTCTGCGGCGGTGGCGGCGGCGGCCTGCAAAGTCACCGCCGGTTAGGACAAGGAAGCGGCGGTGCACGACGTGACGCTGCAAGCCCAGAGGCTCGCCCAGAGGCCAGGGAGAGACTACTCACACTGTGGGCGGCGCGGACGCCGTCGGGCTGGGTAAGGTCGGCGACATCGGCGACGTCGGTGAAGGCCTCGGGTCACCCAGCACGGAGGACCGGCGGTGCTCCTCGCGAGCGCGACGGGCGATCTCGCGGATCTGCTGCTCCGCCTCCTTGGCCCGTCTCTCTGCAACGCGAGCGACGTTAGTATAACACTGCAGCGTTCGCAACGAAGGCGACGGGGAAGTCCCGGCGACGCTCGCGGCGACGCGGCCTACCTTGCTCCTGCCACAGGCGCTCCTGAGCGGGCGCCATCTCCTCCGCCTCCCTGGCGGCCTCCTCCTGGCGCTGCTTCAGGTTGGTGAGGATCTGCTCGGTGCGCGTCTCCAGCACGCGGCGCTCCCACTGCGCCACCCGCTGCGCCACCTTGGGCACGCGGGCCGCGGGCTGCAACACAGAGCAATGCGTGAGGACCGCGCCGAGCAAGTCAAGTCGACGGCGTGGCGCGTACGTCGGCCACCCCACCGATAGCTTCCTCGGCCCTCGGCCTCACCTTGTTGTTGAGCGAGATCTCGTGCAGCACGTCGCGGTCCGGCCGGCCCGTGGTCCGCAGCTTGCTGGCCGCGTTGCTGAGGTTGTTGTTGTTCTTGAGGCTGTTGATGGCGTTGTGGCCCAGCACGGCGCTCTTGTTCTCCTCCTCCTTCTTCTTGCTCCACTCGCGCAGCTCGTCCACGGAGCAGTAGATCATCTCGGAGGGGTCGTCCGCGGCCGGCGGCGTGGGCGCGGCCACGGAGGTCTGGTGGGGCGCGCAGGGTGGCGCCGTCGCCGTCCGGTCCGCCTCCATCTCCTGGATCTGCTTGTGGCTCAGGTCGAGCAGGTCCGTCAGCTCCGACAGCCTGGAAACACACAGCGGACGTCAGTTTGAGGCCCAAACGGTGTCGGAAGCCCCTTCCAGTGGCGCAGCATGCAGCCTCGTTAAAGCGAAATTAACGCGGCGTGACAGTCCGAGTGGGGGCGACGCCAGGCGACGCCAGCAGAGCAGGCTCATTCCGAACGGGGCTTTCGTCGCTTTGCCTCTCGCTCACTCATAGGGGCTCCGTAGGGGTGCGAGAGAGACGGGGCGAGGGGCCTTGGCGGCGTGGCCCTGATCGTGCCGGCAGGCCCGCCCAATTCCGCGGCGTGTCCACTCCATTGTGAGGTCGCGGCGGGCGGCGTGCCTGCCTGCACTGTACACTGTGCCCTGGACCGTACCGCGACCGTGGGCACCTCGTCTCGCCTCGCCTGCCGCGGCACGGGCCAGGACGGCACCGGCAGCGGCCGCGGCGTCACAGAGGCTGACATCACCGCGCGGAGATCAACCACGGGGAGGCGGGGGCAGAAATTGGGGGCAATTTGTTGAAAGGCCGCCACTGGGAAACTCAACCGAGCCCCTCGATGGGCCGGCGCGGAACTGACACCGGAGCCTCGTCCTCGTCAGCCAGGCCGTCAGCTGTCTCTCTCGCACCTCGCACTCGAGGGGCGTCCCGTGGAGGCGCGAGAGAGACAGGGCGACGAAGCGCTGTTCGGAATCGGACCACCGGCCGGACAGTGACGATGGTGACGCAACTCGCGCGCACAATTAGCGACGCCGAAAGCCGAGACGCGACGCGACGCGACGCACGGCCGCGGGAAGACGAGACGCCGCCGGCAGATTCGCGTCCGTCGGGGAAGCCCAGCGCCCAGCTCAGCTCCACCCAATGAAAAGCTTGCAAACTAATTTGCCGTGCGGCGCTCGGCGCGCAGCGGCCCCGCCCTCGTAACAATGGCAGAGCCTCAAGCCACACACGCCCCGCCCCGTCCCGCCCCGCCCCGCCCCGCCCCGCCCCGCCCAGCACGACACGGCTCTACTAGAGTGAAACTCAACGCTGCCACACCCGAGTCTTAACGCACGGCCTCACTTCGATATCAGCGACTCGACGGGCAAAAAAGAGAGGCGTCACGCGAGCCCCACATTACCCACCCAGTCTTGTGTCAGAGTCAGACCCGGCTGCGCGAAGCGCGCGGCTTAGACGAGCTTATGACTTCATTGAGGGGAGGCGGGGACACGATGGGCCCGCTCCACGAAGCACCGTATTTGCTCAAGCTGGACCAGCTATCGCATTCGGCGACATGGCTTGTCCATTACTGCCCCCGGCCCTGTGCCCGGCCGTCACCGAGACATGGCCGCGCTGTCGCCGAGATTGGTGACCCAAAAGCGAGCCAAGGTCGCGCCCCCGTCCCGTGCTCTGAAGTCTGCAGCGTGGTGCCGCGCCACCCGGACTTGATCAGTCCACCCGGGAAACTTCATTCGCGCTGACCCTCTCGCTCTCGTGGCACGATGGCACGATCCCTGAGGGCGCGAGAGAGACAGAGCGACGAAACGCAATGCATGCGTTGCAACGTACCTGAGCTGCTGCGCCTCCAGTTCGGCCTGCTGCCGCGCCTTCTCGCGCGCCTCCAGCTCCAGGATCTGCTCGATGGGGAGGTCGTCGGGGTGCTCGCCCATGACCCACACCCAGGGCTCGCCGTCGGGGCCGTTGAGGAACTGCACCGTCTTGGAACCTGCGCCAAAACACACTCTCTCAGTGACGGCGGCGGCGGCGGCCTCCGCGCAGCGCAGCGCCAATGCAGCGAGGCGGCGAGGCGCGGCAAGTGAAAAGAAGCCGATCCACCGCCAGCTGATTGCGAACAGCAACAGCGCTTTCGTCGCTCCGTCCCTCTCGCACTCGTTCCGGAGGAGGCGCGAGAGAGACAGAGCGACCAAGTACTGTTCGTTCGGAATCGGCCTGCCGGGCTGCGCGGTGCGCGCTGTATGCTGCAATGGAGTTGCCACCTCGTTCAGCCCTGCCCGGCCCGGCCCGGCCGAAAGCAAGCGAGCCCGGAGGCGCCGGCGTTTCCGAAACGCAGCGAGGCGAGCGGCGAGGCGCGCGGCGCGGAGAGGAGCGCCATCGTTAGCGGAACGCGAGGCGGGGCCGCGGGGCCGCGGGGCCGCGCGCCGTGAGGTAGGGCAGGGCCGGCGCACACTAGGAAGACACTCACTGTTCCGGCGGGGCCGCGGCGGCGAGGGGTGGTCCGACAGCTTCTGGTCCCACTGCCGCCATCGCCGCACCTGCTCCTCCCGCATCTTGCAGAACAGCGTCTGCTTCTGGTCATCGTCCAGCTCGGCCAGGATGGCGGGGTCCACCCACATGTCCTGGAGGATCTGCTGCAGCATCCTGGAAAGGGGGAAAGGAAACCAAAGGTCACTCTCGTGTGATGAGTCATTCTTCAGGCGCGGATCCGGGGCCATTGACACCTCTGTGGCCCCTAGACAGCCGCCTGAGAGGTAGGCATAAAGCCATACTTTGCCCCTGTCAGTAGGCAAAGAGTGCTACGTTGCCCCTCCCTTGGGCCGGCGCCGGATCCGCCAGTGCTGGCCTGTTTCGCGCCGGCCGGCGCCGGCACCAAAGCAAATCGCGCAACGGCACTGCAAGGTGAAGGTGTTGGCATTCATAAGCGGGAGAGAGGAGGCTGAGGGTCGCGAAGGTTGGCCAACACGGCGGCGGTGGATGAAATCGATTTGAATTTCCCGCGCCGAGACAATGCGCGCGTTCCGCTCCAGGCGCGCCGCCGCCGCGTTTGTTTCGGTCTCGCCGCCGAGGCGTGGCGGGGCGTGGCGGGGCGGAGATGGCGACGACCAGAAAACCGCGACAAAGGCGAATCGACTTGCATTAGGACCAATTAACGCCGGGGAGCAATCAGGCCTGAGAGTGGCAGGCTGCTTCCCAACGGCGCTTTCGTCGCTCTGCCTCTCTCGCACTCATGGGGCGTCCCCTCTGAGGGCGCGAGAGAGACGGGGCGACGACGGGGCGCTCCTCGGAATGCGCCACGGCCACTTCTTGCCGGCCCAGCGCCCAGCGCGGTCCTATCGTTGGCGGCTGGGTCCTTCCCTCTTCCCCCGGGGCCCGGGGCTCTAGCAGGGCCTAGGTGTGAAAAACGGGAACCGCCGACGTCCGGTGCGCGGTGTGGCGGTATGATGGCGGTATGGCGCAACTCTTAATGACCCGGCCGATGACCGACTTGAAGGAGTGACGCCGCATCGCCGTAATCGTAAATAACTTTATCTGGGCGCCGCGTCACTAGTAAAATGCGCGATCCGCGGCGCGTGGCGGCGTGGCGGCGCTGACGTCACTCCGCGGCCTGGGCTCCGATTTACAACCGTAAGAACGAGCTGCACCCAGCCTCATTCTGCGCACTGCCGTCGTCGCTCTGTCTCTCTCGCTCTCATGCGACGCCCCACATGGGTGCGAGAGAGGCAGAGCGACGGAACGCTGTGCGGGTGGTGCCTGCAGGGCGATGAGGAACGGGAATCGTCAGTCAACTTCCGGCGCGCAACACTGCAAGACTGCAGCGCGCGGCGCGGGGCGCGGGCGGGCGGGCTTCCTTCGGGGAAGTACCAGGGCGGCGTGTTAGTCAACAACGGCTCGCGCAGGGGCGGCTGCAGCCTGCTGCCGCATGTGGCGGCTGCTGGTCACGGTCATGTACTCATTCGTTTCCACGAAGAACAGCAACGGTCTCGCCGACGAAGAAGTAAGGAGCTCCCCTCCGTTGCGAACGGAAAGCAAAACGCTGGCAAATCCTCGTGAGACGTTGTCACCGTTCTCTCACCTGCTGTTTTGCCGGCTGTCTCCCCGAAGATCGAGAATCGACACACACTATCGAATCGGCGCACACGCGAGAAGACGCACGCGACGGCCGTGCGGTTGGCGTGGGCGTTGGTGCTCGCGGACGCGTTAGACGTTCCTCGCGGGCGGCGCGACACAACGCGACTGACGATGACGGCGTGTGGCGTGGCGGCCCGCTGTCCGCACTCCGCAGCCAAGCCGGCCCGGCCCGGCCCGCCTGGCCCGGGTCCGCCTCGGCCGGCCGAACCAAAACAACGCCGCGCGCCGCCACGCCCGGCCGCGCCGAGTGGCCACTCTATCTCGCGCGCTGCCGAGCGCCAGGTGGCCACTCTATCTCGTGCGCTGCCGTGCGCCGGGTGGTCTATCCGCCCCCGTCACAACTCACAGGAATCGGAGTTGTGTTGTGTTCGGTCAGGATGCGCAATTATTAGTGGTATGGTATCGATTGGCCGTTGTTTGCTGTTTCTGGGCAGCGGCCAGGGCGGCCAGCCGCGGCAGGATGCAGGAAACGTCCCCGCGGTTCGCAGAACTGGAGCCGATTGGCGCGGCGCAGCGCTGCCCGTTCCGCCGCTCCGCCGCTCGCCGGGCGCGCCAACACTCTTATCAGTGGAGGGCCGCGTTCGAAGCACCAAAACAAGGACCAAGGCAGAGCCAAGTGACTGATTCCGTTTTGGTCGCTCCCACAGGCCGCCCCGTATAGGTGCGAGAGAGACAGACCCTCGTAGTCACTGTGCCGCCCGAGGCCCGAGCGGCGCACGCAGCCCGACGACGTGTGGTGCGCGACAAGGAAACTGGAACGTGCCGCCCCGAGCTAGAGTGCCGGGCGACTCCCAAGAGTCTGCGTCGCTCTACCTCTGTCGCACTCATGGGGCTCTCCGCGCGGGTGCGAGAGGGACAGCGACAAACCGCTCTCCTGCACCGCTATGCTGCAGGCAAGGAGGAGGAGGAGGAGAAGTCCCCAGATAGTGAGGATCAAAGGAAGACTTTTAATCTAGTCGCCAACAAACTCCTGACTTATCAGTCAAAGGGAAGTACCTTGGCTGCGCGGCTGCGCCTCTTCTAGAAACGACCGCAGCGCGTCACGAATCGGCTTAAAAGGCCGGCCTGTGACGTTTTCGTTCGTCGTGTGGCATGGGCGGGTCTTTAGCGATTACAGCCTGTTTATGGCCCGGCCGCTTAAGTGAGACACGAACGGGCTGTCGGGAAGACACAGTGGAGTTAGCCATTTTCCATCGTTACGCCGCAACTCTTGACTGCAATGCCGGTGCAGCTCCTATGGCAACGAGAGCTTCCTTCGAGTGCAGGCGGACCGAGCAGCGCGTGCTTTTAAGCCCCTTCGGCTATCGGCTTTGCAGGCCTGCCTTCCGCCTCTGACTCAGAGGCGTAAATAAAGCCCGATAGCATGGGAAGGAAAACGGATTGAGTATCGAGTGCGCGATGCACTCGCGAGACGGACTGACTCGTGATTTGCCACTCGCGACGCACCGTGTCACACTCGTTGACGCCTGTAGGCGACACCAGCGGACTGACGTCGTTCTGTCTCTCTCGCACCTACACGGGACGGTCCATGAGTGCGAGAGAGACAGCGTGACTTAAACGACTCTCGGAGTCAGTCTGCAGCGCACTGCAGCACGAGGCGCGTGACAGCCGCCGCCGCCACCGCCGCCTAGCCGCAGAGGTCACGGCTGCATGGCGGGGCCCGATCTCGAGACATCACTTCGAGTTTCCGTCTCGTCTTGACCCCCGTCCCGCCCCGCCCCGCCCCGCCCCGCCCGCTCCTCCCAGTCAGTCGTGGACGTGTGGTCCGTTTAGTTTGTCGCGGGCGGAAAGTCTCGACACTCACTCACTCTTCGTCCCGCTCACGACTACGTATCCATGTGGGTTATTTCGGGTGAACCTCGCCTTGACACGCATTCAAGAGCGCCGTGACCAGCCGCCCTAGATTGGTCACGAGCTTCTCAATGGGTTGTAATGGGCAACTCGTTTGGCCGAGGCATCGACACCGCCTGCCATTAGCAGTGTGGGGCCCTCGACCAGCGCGCGACGCGCAGCACAGCACGCAGCACCGCGCAGCACCGCGCAGCACGCCCGCATGATCCAGCTCCAGCCATACTGATTCCGAGAGCGATTTTCGTCGTTCCAACGCGAGTTCCAACGCGACAGAGACAGGGCGACAGGGAATATCGGAATCTGTCTGCAGCGGAGCCAGCCGACGACTTCTGGAGCAGAGAAGGGGCTTTGGACGGCCAAGGCCGAGGCCCAGCAGAGGCCGCCTGTCAAACGCTTTCTCCCCCACATTAACACTTCACTTCCGAAGCATTACGACCATTACACTCGCAGCGAGGGGGTCCCGCAGCAGGACTGCGACTGCAGGGCCCCCAGGACGCCCGCCCTCGCTAGGCCCCGCTAGCCCTCGCCACAGGGTCCCCGCCGGACGTCCCGGAGGTTCCTCCGCGTGGAGTAGAGCGTACCTGGAGCCGTGTCGTGCGGGGTTTCCGAGAAACAAATCCAAAGGGTGACGTCGCGTTGTCGCCGTGGGGAACAAAGGCGCGGGCCCCAGTTCACACATGCACGACCACACACATGGCACTCACACAGACACACCCGACGCGAGCGCGCGCGATACGCGAGGCGAAGGTCCCCGACCGACCAACCACGTGGTGCGGTCGCGGCTGTACTGCCAGTGTACTGCCTGGGCCCTGGCTGCCTGGCTGCCCGGCCGGGCTGGATCGGCATGCCGGGACTCCCCCTCCCCCTCTCCCTCCCCTCCCTCTCCCCCGCACCGCGCCTCGCGGCCGCGCCCCGCAGTGCCCCGCGCCCGTTCGAGGGAAGGGAAGAAGGCTTCGTCTGACACCAACGCGGAGTGCATTAGGGGGAGGGGGAGGGGGAGGATCGCCCTCTGCGTCGCTCTGCGTCGCTCTGCGTGCCATTCCCGCACGCCTCCCCGCTCTGCCCCTCTCTCTCCGACGGTCGTCCGTCCACGCCTTCGCCGTACGAACCCCCCTGCTAGACCAGCGTTCTATTTTGGAGCTCGAGCTTTGACATGCACTCAGTGAGTGCTCCGCCGCGTCGGAAAATAAATGAAATACTGTCCACAGTTAAAAATTAACAGGCCCGAAAGCTGCGTCGGGGGTTTCGGTTTTTGAAACTGCCAAAAATTCACTGCGGCGTACAGACAAAGTAAAACTATAAATTTTGGTATTTTGAGAAGATTGCAAGCAGCTTTCTCTATCATGACACTTTGTTTGATTGATGATTGGACTTTATTATTTCGAGTGTTTAGATTGGGGCTTCTTTTTTCCTGCACGCTCACCGCCTGCTTTTATCTCCGCCACCGCAAACTCCACCATCGATGATTTGCCCGTCTGCCTCTCTCGCGGGTGTTGTTTTGAACGCGTGACCGATCCTGCATTCCCCGCCAAGTGCGGGCGTGGCGTGGCGTGGCCTGGCGTGGCGTGGCGTGGCGTGGCGGGGTACTTGAGCTGAACACACACGACGCGAACTGTCCATCCCGACACCCGTCGAGAAATGCCTTCTCGGAACGGCGGCGG